CTCCCAGCTATGGCAGCTCTGACTGAAATGTCAAAGCAGTGCAGGAGATTCAGGCAGCCATGCGGCTAACTTGCCTGCCCTGTTTGACTGTCTCAGCCTTTGTGTTGTTACTGTGCTCTTCATCCTCACAGAGCCCTCCATTCCTTCATTGTCCCAGCCCCCTGGGAGGTAGTAAAGTAACATTATCCCCACCTCACCAATGGAACAAGCTGAGGACCGGTGAGGCTGTCCTTCTCAGACTAGAGTAACCTCAGGTTACGCACTGAAATAAAAATGTCCTGATTTGCTGGCCCATCAAACTCAGGCAGACCCTCAGGATTACTCTGAGCGATGAACCCCACCGCTCGGCCCTTCCATCGCATCTACCATCTGAGGATCTCAAAGCACTCTCAGAGGGGCCAGTCCTCAGAGGCAGTAGCCCTCAGCCACTATGGCCACAGCCTTTTCTCCAGACATGGGGCATTCAGACAATTGCAGATACTTTCTGGTACAACCTTCTCCGATGCTGGAATCCGCACCTCAGGAGCCTTGTGCTGAAGGAAGGGCAAACCCAGCGCAAGGACTAAGACAGAGACCCAAATGTCAAATCCCCTTTTGAAGCCTAGTAAGCTTTTGGCCTCACTCGTAGATTGTGGCAGTGAGTTCCATGAGTAAGTTAAGTTCCATTGGCAACTGAAGCAAACATCTGGCCTCGGAAAGCTATAGATTAGCTAAGCCTCCATGCCCCCCTAATGCCAGCAGCATCCCAGGTGACTGGGCACTGTCAACATGACGAGTATCACCTTGCTGTAAACATCCATAGCCGAGATGCAAAAACCCAGCGAGACAGAGGGTGACATGGTCTCTGGAGTAAAACAGGAATTGTGATGCAGCTTACTGATCCTCCATCAACATCTGGGAGCAGCATTTTTACTCACTTAACAGCAAATCAAAGAGAGGTGGGAGGCAAGCCGCCAAAACTCCATGCAAAATTACAGCGCTTTCCTCAGCGGTTTGGAGCTTAATACATGGCTCTCTCCCTCAAACACGGAACGGAGTAACACGATAAGCTGCTAATCAGTGGCCCATCTGCCACTCCGTTTCACCACTCATGTCTGAATCAGAATGTGCCAGGCAAAGCATTTGCCCTAATGCAATCCATGGGCAGCTGGCACGGGCTCCTCTTCCAATCCCCGTTTATCCTCCTCACTCCATGTCCCAGAACAACAGAGTTCAAAGCCATCAGGCCCTATCTCAGGTACTTACCTGGCCCTCAGCATGTAGCATCTGTGATGAGCCCAGTTTGAGAACTTAGAATGCAGTGGATTCCAGGCAGGGCCATGCTGCTTTACAGATGAGGCACAGAGTGGCTAAGTGACTTGCCCAAGATCACACAGGAAGCCTGTGTTGGAGCAGGGAAATTGAACCCAACTCCGAGCTTAGTGCCATAACCACTGGACTATCTGTCCTCTCCTGTTGTCAGGCCTTGGAGGATGTTTAGCTGCTGCTGACTGCCCCTGGGGTTACCAAGGCTGATGCCATGCTGTCAGCGTCTGCCTCCCTGCCAGATATGGAGACAAACCAGTGTAAGTGTGAGACTAAACTAAAGGACCCAATGACCCTGCAATGCTCAACTCTATGTTGGGACACATTTCCAGTGAGCACTCTTCATGCACACGGGACCAGGCCAGGAGTCCAGCTCAAGCCCCCTGGGAGCACAAGGGAAGTGGGTGTGCTCTTATGCAGTGGAGGACAGCGTGACCCCCAAAGGAGCATGGCCTGCCAGCTGGTGGGCACACCCAGTCTTCTCAGCTGGCTAGCAGATGTTAAGGTCTGCTGCATTTCCATAGCCCTGCTGCACAACGGGGCTCTTCACCCTGCTGTGATTGGCCTGTAATTCCCCAGCCGGGAAAGAGCTGCAAGAAAATTAGTAAAGAAAGATGATTATTTTCTGCTGGGGTGGGAGGCCAATGATGTACATTCCCCTGGCTCCTGGCCCTCCACTCATTCATGGAGCTCTGGAGCTACAGCTGCTCTCCCATGAGGTCAGGGGCAGGGAGGGGACATGGTACAGAGGCAGCTTCCCCCTCCCTCATGTCAGAGTTGCCAGTTCAGACAGCAGTTCCCCTCTGTCTGGGAGTCACAAATGCCCTTCCCTTCGGTTCTTACTCAGCCAGACTGAAGTCAGCCTGGGAGTTATGCTGAATGATGCCATCAGGGTCAGGCCCAGGGCATTTCTGAAGTAGACAGTCCTGTGCGACGGGGGGTTAAAATGGACCCGCTGCTCTAACCTGAGATGGAGCGGTCTTTGTGAGTGGTGCTGGAGTACACCCTGCTAATTCATAAGAAATTGCTACTGCCCTTTCTGTGGCTCGGACTAATGAGCTACCTTCTCCCACTCAAAGCCTCGGGAACATTCAGCCCATGTGCACTTATTGCCATTACGCTGGCTTTCCTGCCTGAGTTCCTCAGCTCGGAAAGATGATGCTTTCCCATTAATTTCACACAAAGAGCCAGCATTAAAATACATACTCATAGGGAATTCAATTCCTGCAGGATAAAAGGCTCAGAGCAGCCCTACTGTTTGGAGCAATATCCAGGGTGTCTCTCTCCTTTGGCTACATGCCAAGCAGACTGCAGACCAGCTCCTATGTGCATGGTCAGGCTGTCTCAGCTGGACTAAGCCAGACTGGCACGGGGCACCATGCTGGGAACAAGGCTAAGAAGGGCATGCAAGCAGACCACAGGGGAAAACTGCCACATTCCAAACAAACCATTCATCTCCATGGAAAGGTGGGGATTTTTTTCTTAGTAATGGAAAATAAATTTGCAAAGCAGAGAAGAGGGAAAAGCTATGAATGATGGACTGAGAAAATTGCTAGGTTAAAAAAAGATTTTAGGGGAAGTCGTTTTTGTTTTCTTAAAATCAGGGAAGAGAGCTAGCTCTTAACTCGAGGAGCAAAGCCACTAAAGGTCACTGGACAATGCCACAGGGATTGGCAGATGCATCAGGGTATGCACCTGGTGCCAGTCTAGAGGTTGCTACTGATTTCATACCAAGGCTACACTTAGCATCAGATATAGCATCTTTCCCAGCTGCAGTGCCTTTGTGCTCTGATAATCACCAGCTGTTTTGCCATTACCTGCTGGTGAAAGTTAGAGAAGCCCTGAGGTTGCTCTAACTTGTGCCAGTGACTGAACCAGACCCCTGCAGACCTGAGGCTCAGGAGAATTGCAAAAGCAGGTATGCAGCCATTTTTGCCCCTCTCCCTTGGGGCCAGAACTATCAACATCACAACTGGCTCCCTTATTGGCTGAATGTTCAAAGAGGCCAGACACTGAACATTTAGGCTGCAGAGTGAACTCCCCAGTCAGCCTCAGCAGCAGCCCCTCCAGTCTTCAAAGGTCTGAAGCACAATGGTTAGTTAAGTGTCTGCTAGCTGATCTGGGGATAAAGAGAGTTTTGCTTGCCAGGGCTGCCAAGCTGGCATCAGCCCTGACAAAAGATGTTGGAAAACTGTTACCATAGAAGTTACAGCTGAACCGTAACAATCTCAGCGGGGTGATGCAATTATCATTGTTCAGTTGACACCACTCATATTCAAGCATCTATCTGCTGAAGTGCGGGAACGAAGCTTGAATTCAATCAATTCAAAAAGCTTTTTTAATGAGACCCACTGAATGTTCAATCACTGTTCAATGTGGAGTTAAATAAAAGCAGATTCAACTGGAAAGAGAAAACAAACAGAACAAATTAGACTTCCATCCGACTCCACGGAAGTTCAGTCTGAGAACCGTCATTACACTGGGACCTTGCTTTACTTAGATCCTTCTAAAGGACAGAGACTTCTTATCATTAGATTATATGGGCATTGTGTATTAATAGCACCAAATTCACTCCTTGATTTCATCACATGTTTATAGTCAAGGACATTTGGGAACTGGGATTCTGAGTTCTTCACAATTAATTAAAATATTTAGAGATAAGTCAGAACTAGAAAGTAGAGCCCAGTGAGAAGGTGTCTGGATCTGAGAAGTATCACTGGATCAGAGTCTGCCTGAATAGACTGGCTCTTTGCCAGAGTTTAAAGAAGGGGGCTCATTTCCAGTCCTTTTTTGGATGTAGCAGAAGTCTCGCCAAACCAGCCCTCTGCATGAGCAAAAGACTCACAAGATTAACGAATCTCACAGCATTTCGGTCAGTGGAGGCCAAAGTCTGATGAGAACATCTTTACAGAGCTTGGTGCCAGCCACCAAATTCCACCTCCTCCCACCACCTTCCTGGGTTTTTTTATTTACTTTAATAACAGCAACAAATATAAGTCTCAACCTAAACGTTCTCCTGAGCTTGACTATTCCTAGGGCTTTTCCCTGCAGCACTCCTCAGTTTGTGTCCCTAGTGCCCCCAAACCCTAAAATTCTTCTGTACTCTGGGACTGTTGGTAACAGGACCTGCCTAATCTGGCTGCCAGGGTGAGTCAGCAGAAGAGCTCTACAGTTCTCTGAAGTGTCCTAGAACATGACACCCTCTTACATGGTAGATTTATGACATGGACACTTTTCAGCTACAAACTGGACAGGGATCCAGTTCATTTCATGCAGACCCCAGAACACTCAGCAGCTGGTAATAACTGCCAGTCACTACCAAAGTTCTGTCAGCATATAAAACATTATTTGTGATTATATTTTACCCTGCAAAGTCAGGGGGTGGGGTGGAAGTGGAGCATATAGACCTATGAAAAGTTGAGGGGGGAAACAAGGTCTGGGATGGGCAACACCCCCCCTTTTCCCCATAGCAAATGGTGCCTCTGCTTCTCCCGTGGCCCATCCATTCCTCTTTAAGGTAGGGTAGGGAGAAGTTGGATTTTGATTTTGGCCCAGAAATATCCCAGTTATGAAGAGCAGAACAGGTTTGTTGTCCCATGGGGTTCACCAGTAAAAATGTAATGGGATGTTGTTTGTCCTTATAGGATTGTAATCTGATTAAACCCAAGGAAAAAGAAAAAGCTAGACAGGGAAAATAGGGAGGGAATAATGCATTTATTTACCATAAGTTTTGCCTGTATGAAGTCAAGACAATCTCCATTCAGATTTCTGGTCCTGTCCGTCGTCCATTCCGTTTCTAGTGCATCTCTCTGTTCAATTGTTTCAGCTGGCAGGGTTCCAGCTGCCATATTTGTGTTGCTTCCAGCGCTACAGAACATACCAAGTGCAGACCACTTGGAAAAAGTCTTGTTTCGAAAAAGGTGGGGTGGGTGTTTCCCTGCTCAGAGCCTGGATCTTTGTCAAAGCTGGAGTCAATGACCATTGTTAATTAACACGCCTTGCCATGTCCAAAAGACATTCCTTACCATAAAAGCCAAGGAACTTGTGATGCTCTTACCCTGAACGCTGTGCACTGTTTGATCAGCCCTGAGCAATCAGGGTCAATCTGCAGCAGCCTGGAACATGAGAGTCTCTCGCCTTTGTTCCAACCCCAAATAAAGACGGGGAGATGCGAAGGAAGAGGCGCTGGTGTTCCAAAAGCAGGCGTGGCACTATACCCACTTCTAGCTATCAGGGGGTCCAAATCAGTTTACAGCACATTCTTCCTCTCACGGGATACACGTAATGAAGCTCAGTGAAATGGCGGCTCTTTCCCAGACAACCGCCAGAGCAGGTTTTTAAAGTGACAGGGATTGAACAGAGGCTAATGTCTTCCCCCTTGTGACTGCAAACAGGGAACCCTGTTCCTGGCTGTCTTTTTAACGACCTTGGTTTCTAGAAGACAGTCCCTGTCATGCGATCAGCAACATGTGAGATCAACCACATTCCACCCATATTTCCAGGGCTTTACAATGCAGCCTGTGAGCATGATCTCGGAGCACCTTCCATGAGGAGTCGGCACAAAAAACTCTGTGGGCAGGAACAAGCTTCAAGTTATTGACTTCTTTAGATGTAAATAACTAATGTGATCCGTAGCCCATGTCCTGACAAACCATTAACAATACAATTAAATATGATCGGCATTAAAATGATCAGCTCAACAGGAACTCTGCCGGCGAGCTTCAGAGACTCCTTTCCACCCTGGCGTTGACAGAGGAAGCAAACCTTCAAGGCCCCCTCCAAAAACCCTGATTGCTGAGTTGTTTTAAAGATATACAGTTAGAGTTTACCTATGCGGCTGATGGGGGAACTCCAGGAAAGCTGTGTCAAAGAAACAATATCTTCTCACCCCAGAGGAGAGTCCAGCTCACGCCCCCTGACTTTGGAGCTCTCTGCCTGTCCATCAGACCCTCAGGCTTAGTTAACATTGGCCAATGAAGATGACCTTTGCTGCCCATTTGCGTAAAGGAGAGAAAGACACAGAAGTTCACTATGTCAACACGTTTTGGTCTTGCCATGGCAGGCAGGGGCGAATGCAAGAACGAAGCCTGCAGTGTGCTGAATGCCTTCATCTTCACAATAGTGAACAGGAGCAGGATTGGGCCATGCAAACTAACTTCAGAAGGGAGGCTAAGGGCACCTAACCTGATGCAACTTAGATGTGACCCCAACAGGCTTGCTAACACGTAGCCACATGGAACATGCCCCGTCGATGACACACCATCTTGGAATCTGGCCCATCCAGTCTACGGGGGTCTGAGCTGGTGTATCATGCATGCTGAGGGAGCAGGGGAGAGAAGGGAAGGCAGAAAAGCAGCTAACAATGTACCTGTTAAAGCAGCACATGCACCCCACTTACAATAACTTGCACTTTCTTCTAGCTGCTCAGTGTGTCAGTTACACCAGCTGACTCCTTTGCGCTCAGCACATATTGGGGCAATTTACACAGCACCTTTGGTTCTGGCCTTTAGCAAAGCCTTGGCCACTGTCTGGAGTCCTGAAAATTGATTTCTCTACCTGGAACTGCACATCATTAGTCTCTAGGGAAAGAGCACCAAAGGGGCACAGCATTGTTTATCTGCAGCCACTCAAGGCAAACAGCAGCCACCCAACCCAGGCATCAACAAGGCACTTTGTACAGAGCCATTGCATACAATAGAACCTCTGAGAACAATAGATTAGCCACAAGCACCATGACTTGCAAAACAAAAAAGAGAAGCACTGAACAAATGAAAGCAGCAGCAGCCCAAGTGGGAGGGCTGGTGTACAATAATTGGCATAACAGCTCTGCTGTTTCCTTAATAGGGGATAGGAGAGAAAATTGAAGCAAGTTCCTCTTGAATCGAACATTAGCAGGCTCTGAGCAACAGAAAACAAATCGTACCTCAAGAACAAGTACAGGGGCAGCAGGGAGCCAGCAGGCCAGGGGAGATCTTGTACATATAAGTGTAGGAGAAGTTGAATCCTGAGCCACGTCCACAGACTTCACCTTCCTGGGCTGCTCTCATGGTCCCTCTTGCCCCGCCACTGAAGCCAATTAAGTTTGGGAGCCAGTGCCCTGAGCGCTACTCCTGACTTGGGTCTAGCTCAGATGAGACAAGAACTCATTTGGGAGTCACTGATTTAGCCACTGTTTCTGCATGCTCCACAGCTAGCAAAAAGCCGTTCGGGTTCCTGTGAGCTAGCTAGCTAGCTGCACTCAGGCCTGATTAATAGTGCGGTTTTTGCCCTGGCTGTTCCTGCCTGCCTGCAAATGGCACAGAATATTCTGAACTCTAATCTCCCTAATAAGAGAAGGTCAGAGTGTCCCAGGCTTGACATGCAGGCCCTGTCCATGGTGTAACATCCTGGCCTTTCCCTGCCAGTCAGGCTGGGATAAAACACTTATCTTCTCTCTGCTATGTTCTACAGCTAACACCTCCATTGCCTCCCGGCGTGCTGAACGGCCCTTCTGATAGCAAAGGTGTAATAATCATATCCCTATCGATCACAAAGTCCACTGAGAAACACAACCATCAAGAGGCAGATCCGAGACACAATGACTGGGGGGCAGAGAGGGAGCTTGGGTAGAAAACATCCTTGGGTAACCCCAGTCCAAGTGTCGAACCATCCAAGGATGGCCCATTAAACCCGCCAGTGCAGATCCTCCAGCCAGACACGAACTGGCACCTTACCAGCCTCTGCTGAGCCCCTCTCCATTGTGGAGCCCCAATTCCTCAACATTTGGAAATGCTGAGACTCCCCTGAGACTGAAGTCCACATGTGGCCTCTGCTGGACAGTGGCAGATGTCTGGGAACACTGCCAGGAATTAAAAACACAGCAGCCTCTTGACAAATGTGGCTCCAAGGGGTCCAACAGACAGAGTTTCCTGCAAATCCCCAAAGACCTCACTTGCTTTACCTGACGGCTTCACCCACCTCCTGTTCGTTCAGCGATCGGCAGACTGCACGGGGTGGCATTTCCCCAGCTCTGGAACACCCCAGAAGCATGAGGGAGTAACACACTGAGAAGGCAGCAGATTTCTTAAGGGAAAGATCTCCCTGTGGGGCACTACAGGGGCCAGAAACTCTTTTGGCTCAACCCCTGCCCCCCTCGAGAGTCCTTCACAAAGCAGGGTTCTGCCCTTCCCCTGGACAGCAACCCCACTCCCTTTTAAGTGGGGACAAAATGACAGCTCGGTTTCAGTAAGTCCATTGGCATCGCAAAGTCATGGTGTGAGTATGGTGCCTAGCCAGGGATTCTCAGTGGTGCAGGGGCCAGATGGGTTTGACACGGTGGGTGAAACCCTGCCCTCGGCAGCCTGGGTTCACTAGGAGAGAGTAGGCAGAGAGTGCAGGGACAGCCACACCCCCAAACCCTCCACCCCCTGTGAAACAACATGATTGGAACCTACCGCTTGAGAGCTTGTCAGCTTGGGGGACTAGCTAGCCCCCCAGGTAACACCCACCCCACTTTGTGTTGGCACATCTCCAGCAGAAGGGTTCCTAAGTTAATACCCCTCCAGTACCTTTTCCTTGGCCTCACACAGCTGCCAGGCCTCATCTCTTCAAGTTCCACTCCGCGGGAGCTGCTGACAGTGGCAACCCCATTGGCAGGCAGAGCAGGGGTTGGGTACCAGATCCAACAAAGCAAAGGGGCTTCTCTCTCATGTGGGCGCTCTGCCCAGAGAGGACCCCCGAGCATCTCCCCCTAGCACACAGCGGGTATCATCGAACAACACGCTCACATCAATAGTGCACAAAGGTTCCATATACGAACACTATGAACAATTAGAAACTAGTAGCTGTAGGCACAGTGCTTAACAGCTCGTCCTGCACCATGAGGGCAAAGCAAGTTTCACCACAGCTCCAAGGACATGGGGCTATAAATCCTGATACAACATGCTCCGAAGGGTCTGCCTGCTTAAAGACACGATCAGGTCATTAACACAACTGCCCCTCCAGGAACCTCTGGCTAGTTCATTATTTTAACAGTGTGAATTGTGCATTTATGAATAGTCTCAAGGCTTTTCAACTGGTACCTGAGTCTCATACTCAGCTCCAGGATAGGCACAGCACGAGCAGTAGCAGGGCAAATCTTCTCCTGCCGATGGGCTTCCACTTTCCTCTGGAAGATCCAAAGGGTCGAAATGTCTCCATGCTCCTTTAGTCTGGGGCTGCTCTGGTTTGTCATGACTAGGAAAAGTGGTCAAGTCTAGGTTAAGTTTAGCTTAACATGTGCTAGCTAAGCCTGACCTAAACTTGACCTTTTCCCTAGCATGGATGCAGGGTACAAATCTAGGCTACAACTCAACCAGCTAAAGATTGAGCTAAAATTAAATTAACATTTTGAAATCTCAGCCTTAATGTATAGCTTCAGACAGACAGACTTGTGTGTGATGTACTGGGTACAGGTCTGGTGAGACAAAAAAGATCCCATGGTACATTTCATAAGGGGAGTGTCCTGAAATTCTCTCCCCAGCTTTCCCTCTCCGCACGGCTGTGTGCTTGCTGGTCACACTAGAGATGGCTGCATTTCAACCGTGCTCTCTGAGCATAGGTTCTCATCTCGCATTCCTTGCACATGCAGACATTCACTGAAGTCAGAGGGTAGCTTGCATGTGCAAGGTGGCACCTTTGCAAAGTGCTTTGGAATCCTTTGCTGCTTTAACGACATGGATTATCACCATCACCTCGAGCCATTTAAAATGGCTGCAGTGTTTAAACGTTTTCAAGGTCTAATTGCGCAGACCTGGCCCACCAGTTGGAATTGGCCTAAATAAATAAGTACTTGAAAGTTAGCAAGAGTTGAAGAGGATATTTGTACCCCAGTCAGTCAATATTTAACTCTTCTTTTTGTGTCCACTGAGGGGTTAATGATACTTTCAGAGAGTGAATAAAAAGACCAAAAAACAAAAACCAGAGGGAGAAAGCAGCATCTAAACAAACAAGAGTCTAGGCATGGGTCTGATCATAAACATGAGACACAGAGGAATGGAGATCACTGCACTGTACTGCAAAGGGAAACAACTGGTCCCCCATGCCACACTCACAGTGGGTATTGGTTACCCTTTGTGAGTGATCATTGAAAGGTACATGAAAGCCCAGGTACATGAAAGTCCAGGAAAGTACTCACTCAGGAACAGCTGTCAGACAAAGGAAGAGGCAGATGGTCCACCGAGAAAGACAGCTCTGTATTGTCAAATGGAGAGGACGAAAATGGGGAGAAGGGCTCTGGCACCATAACCAAGGCCAAGCAGATACCCCGATGATGGGGGCCCTATAAGAATGCAGACAGCTGGCTCCCTGAGCATTCCTCACACCACTTCATGTCTGGATCACCTGGTGGAATCCCGCGGCCTGCACTGATGCAAAAGGGCACCTTACCCAGGTAAGACTGGCTCTTCGCTTACAGCTCACTGATTGCAGGCAATAGCGGCTGGTGCTGTAGCTGGGATTTCCAGTTTAAGCTGACGCCAGGGAACAGTGCGGTGCAGCTGGCGGGAGCACAGACACGGGGGCCAGGGTTCTGGGCCCTGTTCTGCCGCTGACTCACTGGAGGACCTTAGGCAAGTCATTCAGAGACAAATTTTCTAAAGTGGCTTCTAATTCTGGGTCCTTTGGTTATCCTACCTTCAATACCTATGCGCTGATGTTGAGCACCCCAACTCCCACTAACTTCAGAAACTCTGAAAATCAGGCCCCAACACCAGCATTTTCAATGTGGGGTGTCTTATGTTAGGCCACTACATCCACACTTGGGCTCTGTGACATTCTATACCTTGGGGGAGCGTACCCCCATATTCCTCATTTCCACATAATCGTGATCTTACATATAAAGCACGCCTTATAAGGTAGCAGGGGACAGGTTATGATCTGCTGAAAGTCATTTCTCTATCCGTGTGTGTGTATCCGTAATGCATATGAAGTTATGAGAGTTGTGTTGTATGGTGGTCACTAAAACATGCTGTAAGTTGGGGAATCAGCCAGATATTAGCTACCTAGGGGCAAGAGCAAAGAAAGTAACAACGCCCGGGTGGGGTGTCAAACAACCCACCAACAGTCATTGTCCAGCAAGGGAGCTACATTGCAATGACTCTCCTGCATGAGGCCACACCAGGGGAATTGCTCGACCTTGCTTGGAGAGACTCAGCAATGCCCCCAGACATGCCTGGACTTGTGCTCCCCAAGCACATGGACTGAGGGTATAAAACAGACACAGTGGACGCATACTGGGCCCTTCTCCTGCCCTCACCTTCACTGTAAGCAACTAAGACACTGAGAAGACAAGACTCCAACAGAGGAGATTGGCCCAGGTTTAAGGAACAAACCTCTATATTAAGGACTGCACTATCCAGTGGAGTGAGAAAAACTGCTTCATCTAGATGTTGCCCAGTCTAATAGGGCTGAGAGTTTAGACTGCATGCTTATATTTTCTTTTCTTTTGGTAACCACTCTGACTTTTTGCCTATCATTTAAAATCTATCTTTGTAGTTAAAAAATCCGTTTGTTTATTCTACCTGAAGCAGTGTGTATCCAGACTGGTGATCTGCTAGGTCACTCCAATCCTTGACTCTGGGAGCCAGCCTCACCCGGCTCAGCCCCCACTCCTGGGCTGTTCGCGCACAGCCTCTGGCATGTAAGCCGCTCCTTGGATTGTGCAACCAAATGACATTAGCCAGTATCTCTGGTCCCAGACACAACCCTAGGAACCTCCATCTTGCAGTGTCCAGTTATGCCTGCTGGACGCTGCAAGCTTATATGAGTTTGTCAATTTAACAAAGAAATTGATATGCACCAGGCTTGTTATCCCAAGGGGAGTCTCTGACATGCTTCAAATCAAATGCACTGCTTCAGGTAGAACAAACAAATTTATTAACTACAAAGATAGAGTTTAAGTGATTATAAGTGATAGGCTCAGATATGCCTACCCAAGAAGGAGGAGTTGTCATGGTCCATTCAAGGTGCAAACCAGGCCAGTGAGGGGTTGTGTCACTACCTGCCCTGTAACCTTGGGCGCCTCACAATGCTTTACCATTGTAGCTCCCAACCTGGGCTACTCACAACCAGCCTACCAGCATGTAGGTCACACCCTGAGACTGCCTGGGTTCAGCATCTCTGACCCCAGCTGCCTGTCTACCGCTCCCACCAGCCTGGTCTACAACTTGCAGGTGACCCCAATGCACTCCCAGACCCAAATTTTCCCAACACCCGTGTACTCTGTAATGTCCAGCCCTCTCCTAGCCAGGTCAGTGAAATAATATGGTTAATTTTTTCCTCTAAAGACACAAAAACACATGCCAGCTTATGAACTAAACTGGGGGTCAACACGCCCTTCCCTTTAAACACTGCACTGCGTTGGTTTATGGTAAAAATGAAATAAATGCATTAACAAAATGTACATAGGATTAAGTGAGTTCAAGAATAAGGAATGAAGATAGTTACAACAAAACAAAACATGCTTCTAAAGGTCTAAAGCTTAATTTAGCAAGATACAGCCTTTGTTCCAGATGGTTTCTCTCACCAGCCATTTTTCTTCCCAGCCATGGCTGACTTTCCCTCAGTCAAGACCTTCCACCAAAGTCCAAGGTGCTGGCTCCCCTTGTCTTCTTAGGTGAACGATCTTTGACTAAGCAGGTTTCTCACCTATCTTCACTTCCAGAGACTTCAAGCCCCCCATCCCTGAGGTTGAAGGACCTATCTTTCTCAGCTTGCCCCAGTTCTGGCCTCGTGTCTGTCTAGCGGTGATGCCAAAGATGGCTTCTGTCCTTGCTTATAGCTTTCTAAGTTCAATGACCTTGTTTCAAGAGACAAGGGGATTTCATGCTCTTCTTCCCTTCCTGTGGCCTTCCCATCCCCTATACGTAAATGGGGCTTCCATTGTTTTGATTCTATCATGCTGAATTTACACAGGAACCAGGTAAATAGCTACCCCTCCCCTCATCTGGGCGGGAACTATTCCTTATTTTGTTCAGCCACACTCTTTAAAACATACTATGAATGAGTATTCATAATTCCTCCTATAGCATTCATACAGGCATTTTACAATATCACCCACCAGCGTATTAGAGGCATTCATAAAAGACCTCACATGGTGCACAAATATTGCATTCAATTGATTGATTCAATTGCTTATTATTTGAGGCTTAGCCTCCCTGTCTTTATAGCCCAGTAAACCTTTGAACTAGATTCTTCGGAAAGTGAAACCCAGACCAAGCCTCTCTCTCCTGCTGGGTACAGCCATGCTGTCTCTTCCCCCGCTTGTTAGCTTTATCTGCCATGCCAACGTGCCTGGTCTAGACATGCTGACCCCCAACCATCTTGGAGCTTAATAATTCTGTTTACTGCACATGTAAATTGCAAGCCCATTGTATCTACTCAACCCTGTGTCATCTGTATTCAAGACCTGGGCGGACCTGTTTTCCAACTCCCTATGGCATGCCTAGTTTAAACACACTTTAATCATAACTGCAGACTGTATTCATAACAATGGACGTCGTGTACTTCCATCACACAAGAATATTAACAATCAGCGAGTTATTTGTTTTCAAATGATACTTCACAAGGCATATTTTGTACCAAGATTATTCCAAAAGCATGTAGGGTGGGAATACAGGGGTGCTTAGCGTCACAGGAGTGGAGAAGAGGACACAAGCAGAGGTTACACGGTGGTTGTAAGAGCCCTTGTGTCCCACACCATAGTGCAGAATGCCTAGATGGCTTCCCTTAATCTTGGCCAGCTACAGGGTCAGGAAGGCTTGACTAACGCCCACTGGTGGAATGGACTCTGGCAGCCAGGGCACCCAAGAAAATCATAGAAGCCTCATCCAGCAGCCTCTTGGCCCTTGCCACTTACAAACTGATGTGGATTCCTCTGAATTCCTCAGTCGTGGTATGACCATCAGCTGTCGTGGGACAAGAACAATTTCACTAGCGGGTGCTTAGAAGAACCTCCCATCCCATCCCATCCCCTCCCCTCCCCCACTCACTCACCAGTCGTTGCAGAACCTGGAAGATAAAAGCAGACGCAGCAGGGAGCACGTGCAGTGATCTGCATAACACCACACAGCCTGTGGTCCCTGCCCTGTCTCCCCATCAGCTGCTTGCAGCCAACACGCTGCAGGACCAGAAGATCTGGACTGGCCATCAGGCGAGCTGGGGATGAAGAACACTTGTTCCCCTTTCATCTTTCCAAAGCCTTCCAGCCACGCTCCCTCTTTCACGGTATGCAGTCACGTAGCCATGAAGCAGAAGTGAGACTCCAGGTCGTTGTCCCTCTGCTGAAGGTTAGATATGGCGTGGAAAATTAAATCCCCCCATGTGACACTCCAAAGCAATGGGGAAGTGCATTTTTATGTCCCTCTGTGCACTGACAGTAACTGAAACTATGATCTCTTTTACTAACCTTGCGATGTCACCAGCTGTCATCTGAGCTTCATCTCTATGAGCAACACAGGTGGGTGAGTGTGAGCTGCCGAGCCCAGCTCCTGCATAGACAATACCCTCTAGAGTCAAGCCACCGAGAATCTCCTCTAGTCTCCTGGAAGTCAAGGCTCAGACTCACTAATCTCACATGAGGCAGATTTGCATTCACCTCTACAAAAGGCAGAGCCAAGGGGTCTCGGCAAATGACATTTTAATTAAAAAAAAAAAAAAGACATGAAAGTGCAAGTGAAGGGTGCTGGATTGAAGACTGACTTCATTATGCATGGGACATGGCAGCGTTCACGGCCACATGTGTTGCAACTAGGACGGGCAGGAACCACTCAGACTGGAGAAAATTGTTCCGTCTACATGGCCTAGACAAGGCCTTGGGCTCTCTGCAAAGATTGCCAAAAAGGAGGGTGGCGGAGGGGGCGACTAAGATGTGGCTGCTTAAAATCACCAACTCATTTCACAGAAGGCGCCAAAAAACTGCCAAGACAATAATGGCTTCTGGGTACTTGTATTGAGCCCAAATGGGTCAGTTCCAGAACCTGCCATATTAGCAGATGCATAGCCCCCGCACTTGAGTTACATTCCAGCTGTCGTGAGAGCAAGTGGAAGATCTTCTGTCTTGTAGGTATATATGAAGCCGGATAAGAGAAAATCTATAAGGTTTATCATATATAATTGGGGGCCTGGTTTTCTTAGGCCCCTTTGAAAAGCCCAGCCTAAGTTCTCAGAGGTTGACACACACACCGTAGCTCACTGCAAAGCTCTTACACAATGGGAAGGCCCAGGGTTTATTTCTATTTCGCTCTGATTCTGTGGAATAGGCTCCAGGCTACACTACTTATTGCCATGCGGACGCAGCAGAAGTGCAATCTCACACCAGCACACCACAAACAATACAAGGCAGGGACCATCTCTAACAGCCCCCCATGCACTCCTTTCACATCAGATGCAATCAGACATTTCTTAAAACAATGCCGGTGCTGGTTCCATTGGACCAGGGGCTTGGGGCAAGTCCAGAAGTCAGAGGCCTCAGAAGCTCAACCACTGCACAGTAAATTGGGCTGGTTCATCCCCAGCCCACTCACCATGGCTTATTCAGTAAAGACCTAGCTCTACACAATACGTGAAACCACAAGGAAAGGAGCTAAGCCAGGAACTCTCCAGTTACAGAGGATGAACAGGGCACTGTAGCTTTCTGCACAGCCTCCTGTTTGTACAACTGGCCTTTCTAAAGGGAGGGCCTGAAGGGGGAGTTGTGTTAATCTTGTCATCAAAGAACAACCAAACATGACACAGGCGATCCTGTTTATTGGAGTAACGAAAATAAATAAGGGTTGGATGGCTCAGAACCTGGATGGCCCAATTCTAATCTAGCCCTGGTCAGCCAAAACTGAAATTTGTTGCAAGCTGATGGCTATTGGGTGACCTATGCAAGGAGAGCCTGGTTGCTGTCACTGTCCAGTTGCCTGATCTTTAAATCAGACTACTAACAAAGCTGACAATCTCGGCAGGAACAAGGACAAAACGGGCAGAGAGACTTCCTAGTAGGAAAAATATTCCAGGTCCAGGTGGGCTGAGGAGTGGGTTTGTGGGGATCAGCTCAGTCCCTACTGTAACCGTTCGGTAAACTGAGGATTTCAATCCAGTATCTTTTGGCAATACCACTGTAAATTAATTTACACATGCAGATTAAAGCCCACTAAGCCTTTTTCACCCTGATCTGAATCTTTCCATTTCAAATAGCTATGTCACAGACTTCTAGAAAGAGACTCAAAATATACAGCAGAAGTTTGCAATTTTTTCCACTATAGAACAAACGCCATTAGAATATCCAAACGCCCTATAATCCTTATCCTATAGCACAAGGCTCTCCACTCACTTAGCAGGGACTGGCTTACCAATGAAAGAGAAACACTGCTGGGCTCTAAAAAGAACATTCTACAATCGTCAGTGACTAATATATGTTTGCAACTTATGGACTTTAGTGCAGTGATGGGAAAATCCTTAGAGATCTAAAAGAATCCCTCAGGGGGAACTGAGATACCAGAACACTTCTCTTAGCACATCAAAGTTGCAAAGAAACCCATATATTCTCCACCAGGACCAAGGATTTCACCCTGAGGAGAGAAGTATTTACAGAGCTCACACATCTTGCCTCTCCACTAAGAACCTCTCCATCTGGAGACACATGAACATAACAAAAACCACTCTGGAGTATTTCATCTGTCATCTAAAAGCTTTCTCCGTGATCCACTTTAAAAAGGCAAAGGCAGACAGGATGGAGTGTTTTCACATGTTTATAAATCCAATAAATACAAGTATAACACCAACCCACCAGAATGGGGCAGGGAAGGAGGCCCAGAGGTGACCAGGAAAACACTGACTACCATATAAGTCAGCGGTTCATGCTGATGTGTCGAACAGCTTCTCAATCATCTCGCCCACCTGGTCAACTCTATACTTGATGTACTTCTCAGGGTTCTTGGTGAAGGGCACATTGCCATACCTGCCGAGGGCAAGCAAAACAACCCCAGTGTGACACACAGCGGACACTGCACAAAGCCACAGCACCTGGGACTTCCCTTTTCACTACCATCCAGTGCTGCTCTGCTTCTGCCCCCCTCCCAGAGAAGCAATATTCCAGCTTCCACATCTTCTGTTTGAGAGGGTGACAGACACTTGGGTAGAGCTCTTCACAGGAAGAATACCTTCTAGCAGGGTTGGTTCAAATGGGTATTCCTGGGTTTCCATTAATATCAAGAGATTTCTCAATGGAGCCCAGCTTTCCACTAGCTAGAACACGGCCACCAGTTGTCTTGCAATTAGAAGCCATTCACGAATGCCGCGATCTAACTGAGAACAATCATATCAGCCAACCTCAGCTTGCAGAATCTCAAGGGCATATTATACAGAGCTGAGGATAGCTTTGGAAAGCCAGAGTGCAGCAAACTGCCTCACTTTTGGTCTGCTCTGGGCCCAGGAGAACTCAGCATATCCCCAGAAGAACCAGGACAGAGGACACTGCTCCTGGAGAAGAGTGGTCACCTGTGTAAGAAGGCACTGTAGGTCTCTTTCACAATGGTTTTCTGGGCCTTGCGGATTTTGTCCCTCTGCTCCATGTCAGGGATGGCCCAGGCCTTCTGGATTTTACACAACTCCTCCAGGCCGTCATTAAAACCCTTGCCATTAAAACAGGAGAAAACGGTTGGACACAGATGTGTCTAAGTTTCATATGGCGCACTGTGCCAGGCAAGCACAGCTCAGGGTTAGCACTGATCCAGAGAAAGTTCTCTGGCCCCACAAAGGCTTCTTACCTTAAAACGCTCCTTTATCATCTGCCTCTCCTTATCCTTGAGCTGTGAGGAGAGAAGAAGAGATGTTATTTCCCCCTCCCAGTATAAATGTCCTCACTGCTGCTCACTCTCTGAATTCATGTTTATCTCCACCTGGACTGACCAGCCTTCAGGAGAAAAAGCCAAAGGCTTTATTCTTCAAGAGCCTCCGAAAGGCTTTTAGAATCCCACCACCCACATGGTGCCATCTTTATTATCATTCACTGGGTCCCACTCCCCACACCAACTCTCTCCTGGAAGTTTGTCTTACATGCTTTAGCTAGGACTCAGGAATGGGAACATGTTGGGGAAAGAGAGAATCCCACTTTCAACGAATGTCACCCATCTAAAGATTATTTAGATAGGGAAATTTGGGGCCAGGACAGGTATTATTGTGCATGTAGAGCAGTTGTGCTAGGCTCTCAGGAGTTTTACAAGTAGCATCATCTGCCCCAGTTTCAGAGAGAGGCGCCGAGCGGTGAAGGGATTTGACCACGGTCACACAGTAAATCTGTGACAGGAGAAAATAGACCCCAAGCCTGATTCCTAATGCACTCTCCACAATGTAACTCTGCCTTCCAGTAGTATTACTGCTTTCCAGAGACATTCGCCCTGGATTTTAAAAATATATATCTATATATAGCAGAGAAAATGCTTTGGCCGATTTCCATTGTCTGAAATTCATCCTTATCTATCACCTCACCTTGACTCCTGATTGAAAGACAGGCAAGTTTCTCTCCGAGATGTATTCTGTTACTTTTAACCAGCTGCAATTGACACGAGAGGGGATGCATTACAGACATAAGAACAGACACTCTGGGTCAAACCAATGGTCCATCTAACCCACTATCCTGTGTTCCAACAGTGGCCAATGCCAGGTGCCTCAGAGAGAGAATGAGCAGGCAATCACTGAGTGATCTATCCCGTCGTCCACTCCCAGCTGCTGGCAAACAGAGGCTAGGGACACCCAGAGCATGGGGTTGCAACCCTGACTATGCTGGCTAATAGCCATTGACGGATCTATCCTCCATGAATTTATCTAGTTCTTTTTTGAGCCCTGTTATAGTTTTGGCCTTCATAACATCTCCTAGCAATGAGTTCCACAGGTTGACTGTGCATCATGTGAAGAAGTACTTCCTGTTGTTTGTTTTAAACTTTCTGCTGGTTCATTTCTTTGGGCGACCCCTGGTTCTTGTGTTATGAGAACGAGTAAATAACACTTCCTTATTCGCTTTCTCCACATCAGTTAAGATTTTATAGACCTGTATCGTATTCCATCTTAGTTCTCTCTTTTCCAAGCTGCAAAGTCCCAGTCTTTTTAATCTCTCCTCACGTGGAAGCTGTTCCACACCCCTAATAATTTTGTTGCCCATCTCTGTACTTTTCCAATTCTAAGATATCTTTTTTGAGATGAGGTGATCAGATCTGCATGCAGTATTCAAAATGTGAGCATACCATGGATTTATATAGAGGCATGATGATATTTTCTGTCTTATTAGCTATCCCTTTTTATCTATAGACAGTGAGTTATCCAGCAAGGAATCTCACAGGAAGCTAGTACATACTCTCCTTAGGGCTAGAAAGTGGGCAGTTTCCACATCACATGTCCAGATGTCTTTCCATGATGAACACTTCCCATACAATGTTAAACTCTTTCAAATCATATTGTTTGTGGTTCCCTTTTATACTGTTCTCTCCCACCACTCAGTTAGAACTGGACATTAAGGTCTATGCAGAGAGTTGACGGTCTCTCAAGCCATAATGAGGGCTAAGGAAAGAGAAAAGACAATCCCTCCTGACCTGCGCTGGTAGGTTTGGATCTGCTGCTCAATGTGCTCCTTGTAAGACCTCTCTGCTGTTTTCTGAGTCACAGCCACCAACTGGATTAGCTCAGACCTGGTAGAAGGAGAGAAGAGCTTATCGAACACCCACAAACCAGCTCATCTCCTGCCAACCCACTGTTGCTAATTGGGTGGTGGGGTTTCAAACCTTCATTAGCAAGGCCCCTTGGCCCTTTTTAAATTAACAATCCCCCATTTTGGAGTGACAACATTCAGAACGTACAAGCCAGGACACAGAAATTGCTCCAAGCTGGATGCTTTCCAGTGCTGGATTCTTACTGCTGAGAAGATGAAAGAATCTGATGCACTCAGAGGCCTGTCTTTCCCTCCCTCTTGTGCAATGTAAGAAAGACTTCAAAGGGCAGTTTCAAAGGGGGAAAAACTACCAGAGAAGATAAACCAGTGAGGAAATGCATTCAACATATTGGAGTTAAAAAAGGGGGAAAAAAAACAACAACAAAAAAACGCCCACAACACTCAACCTAAAGCCCCCACAGCAGTGAAATTCAGTTTGTTTGGAATACATGGGGATTTATCGAGAGATGCACTTACTTTTCAAGGGATTTAAGGATGTAATTGTAGTTGTTGTGCAGGAAGATGGCACTCAAAGCTGGGTCCTCATAAACCTTGGATTTACTGAGAAGGTTTAGTTGCAAGTTGCCCAATACTTTGCCTTAATGAGAAAAAACACATTAATAGAGGACAAAGGATTTTTAATCAAGACTGCGGAAGATGATGGCCCACAATGCCTTATTATTACAGAAGATAACATACAGGGCTCAATCTTCAAAATCTTTAGGCGCACAACTGAGCATACATCTACTGCATGCAAATCTGCTCAATAATTTGTAGACATAATCATAACCGTGGACATGAACTAGGCATGCAAAATGCACACAATTGCACATCTACCTTGTCTGAAGTTTCCGCACACAATTCCTAGTACTCATGCAACCATTTCCTTCAAGGAGCAGCTGAGAGCTCCACAAGAGCTCGTACCCCTGCTGCACCATTTCCTACAGTGGCATCTCCATGTATTGCATGCCATCATGGATTCCATTAGCAGCAGAGGACCAAATTTGGCCCTCACATCAGCAGCCACTGCTCCCATTGAAATCAATGAGTATCCCATCTGCTCGTGCCAGGGCTAAATTTGGCCCAGGACCTCTCTGACATCAACCAAGTTTAATGCTGACATGCCCCATCTAAGTGGCTGCTGCATGCTGAATTCAGTAATAGTCTGGCACTTCGGTCCCAGGCCAGAATTACCAGTCAAATAACTTTAACGGCAACTACAACAGCGTTAGCTGTGCCACCCATCTGAACAGTCCAAACACTGCACCAGAGAACATGCCTTGCGGGGCACAAGCAGAGGTGTGGAGAAAGCAATTGAGGGAGAGCTGTGCATGATACTCACAGATGTAGGTGCTGAGCAGACGTCTGCTAAATTCAGAACTGTAGCTGCTAGCTGAAGAGCTGGTCTCTATAAGGAAAAGAGCCTTAAACCAGTTAACATGCCACCCACGGAGCCTGGTTTGGTTAGTCTGCCTCTACTCAAACAAGTCATTTTATTGTTGCTATGGAATTATAATGCCACTCAAGTTGTCAATGAAAATTACTCTCCCTCCTCACCCCAGATACGCATCAGATTATTTAGAACAAGAAAGGACAGACTGCACTCAGTTTGACCCCAGTATTTGCACCAACTGCTAGAAAGCCATGCTACGGGACAGACCTATTCCTTCTTTACTATCGTTTTAAGATTAAGAGAATAGGAACTGAGATATAGAAGACACCCTATTAATCAGAAATCAAGCAATTGAATGTAATAAAAGGTCTTTTTTTAGCACTAGATGTTCTCAACCAAGAAACAGAGAAGTTATTTTTGTTAATAGCAAGCACTTATTGTACCGTACCTGCAACATTAATCCAAACAAGCAGCACCACTCTGGAAAGTTTCAGCTAACACCACCCTTGCTGATAGCAGCCTGCCCAGGCTCTGCACAAGCACTGTTCAAGTACCATATCCCATCCACACAGGTGATGGGCTTGGCTTGTGTAAATTCTATTGCCTGCATGTGCAAATGTTTTAAAAGTGCACACACAAATATTCTTCTGCAGGCCACATGGTCAGGAAACAGTGCGTGAGCAGAGTCCAACAGAGGCCACTGTCGGAAAACTTGGCCCATAGAATTCCGCATGGCTGTAAGCCAGACCAAGTTTGCTTGAAGGATTGGGAGCCTTTTGAGTTTGTAACAAAATCCCAAACTGCTTTTGGAGCTGGGTCTGGTGGCAGCCACCAATGAAGCGAAGAGGGTCTTTCCTGCTGTAAGAAGTCTGGACAGTTGTCAAAAAAAGAGCTGGGTCTGCAAAGGACAGTATGACAGAACAATTTGGCCAACTCCCCCTGGAAAAGCCTGTCCCCATCAGCATAACCGAGAGAATTCAGTGCAATGATACAGACTTTATCCCATTTTAACTAACATCCTCCCTACAAATTCACTGTAATACAACACTGACTCCCCTCTCCCACTGAGTCAGGGAGCTTCTGGGTTATTCATTTTTTAAAAAAGACAACTGGTTTTTAATCATTAGATATTGGTTTAAGAATCAACAGAAATATGCAACTATAGTCAAAGGTGATATAACATGTCGAGTGGGTAACACACACACTCTGCTTACCTCTGGGATCTAAAGGAATATTGTATGTGTCCCCAAGAACTACAAAGTTTAAGGCAGAGCGGAGAGAAAAGGGGAGGGAGGAGAGAGAAAGAAATGCAAAGTGCAAAAAGACAGGTTAGAGACCACCATCCCGTCAAGAAGAACAAAGCAGATATTAACACAGAGCAGCCACGGAGCTGATGGCAGAGCAGGCAGGATTCGCTCCTTCAAGACCACAAAAATGGTGCTGGTGATTAAGGAGGAAATGTATATTTTGTACTAGCGCAAGGCAGGATGTTATGTAACACTGTCATCACTCAGAGGATAAAAAGTATCACCAAGGGCCTGACCAAACTCCTGTTAAAGTCAATTATTTCAGTGGGATTGGTCCCCCAAGCAAACTGGGTACTGCTGAATAGAACTGAGTGGCTCTGGCCCCCTCCCTTAGTGCGAGCTACATACCCTTTCTAGGATATAAGTGGTATGTCTGGATGAGACAGAGTCTGCCTGGGTATTGTTCAATGCAGGCAGAGAGCTGGTATTGGTGTTCACCACACTTACTTGTCCTCAGGTGAAAACTCATGTTTGAGTGAAACGTTTCACCAGAGCAAAACACCAGCCAATCGCTTCAGACAGAATTAAAGTGGCCACAGCAATAGAAAACTTTACTGAGATGAACAACTCTGCACCGGCAGGGTTAGGTACCCTGTGCTGGGCTAGGCTACCAATGGCAGTGGGGCTAATTTCTTTGATTCAATGATAGAATTCCCTCGTGTTGTTGGTGCTGCATGAGAACACTATCGGCAAAGGCAGACGAGTGCTTCTGACACTGGGGATCCTGGAGGAGAGAGAAGAGGCTATAATACTTTGGTCACGATTCAGCTCACTGCCAGTTCTGAGGCACCAGATGCCAAGCTGAGTTATCAGCTCTGGAAGCCTGCAAAGGTCTAATTATTCTGACCTATCATTTTACTGAGTAAACTCACTGAAGCAGCGTTTTCTCCTGCTGACTTCCACCACCATCTTTCTACACCTGATGGGACAGTATGTTATATTTAAAAATTGAATGAGCTTCAGTCTGATGGTTTCCCAGGCATTTCAGGATATGAACCACACTAAAGGCCATTGTAAACTTTTTGTATGGTCTCCTACGACAATTGTCTTCCCTGTGACACAGCTGCAACTTTCCCTCCCTTTAGTAAATAAGGTGAGCCTCATCTTTCAGGAAACAAACAAGAAAATTGAATTTGCACCATCTCTTTGGTCAATGAAAGAGTTAACTCCACAGATGTCTTTTGCCATGAACATAGGTTATCAGGGAAAGAGAGCAGGTGTTAGAGTGGAGGAGGAAATGATGGTATGCTGAGGAGATAGTCACTGAGATGGGTTAGCCACTGATATGAATATTCTGACTGCTGTTAATGAGAGATGACTGCATGAGGGGGCATAGTGTGAACATGACAGGTAAAATGCAATTCCTCATTAGTCAAACCTCACTACCAGGAACTCAGCTGGAACAACTATTATTCTATAATTCACTCTAGAGATTAGATCTGCACTGATCTGCCTTGCCTATTCTTTATAGGACAGGCCATTTGTTAGCCATCTTACTCTACCTCACTTCATAGCTAGAGAGTAAAGGTTACCCAGCTGTGCATGATGGCAGCACATCTAGAAGGCGAAAAGGGAACCAACTGCAGATCCCCTTGAGCTCTCCAGGAATCGGGTCATGGCAGATCAACCGATAAGACAATCTACTGGCAGAGGAGAAGCTGGCATGCTAATGAGAGTTCTTGTTAAAGAGGTTTAACCTTCAGGAAAATGGCTCAAACATTGTGGGAAAGTCACCCCTGCAGCCAGGGAGTCCCATGCATGTACCTTGGGATGCCAGCATGGCACCTGCTGTCTCCTGGAAATCCAGCAACTGCTGCAGGAAGAGAATGGCCTTCAAGAGAGGGGGAAATAGAGAGGAAAAGTCAAACAGAATTCACATTGGGTTTCTTATCCTCCCTTATTAAACAGAATGAAGATGCCCTCACCCACATAAAGTCAGCCACAAACCTGAAAGAAACAACAGTACACTCATTTAAAGTGGCCTTTAATAAAATCTTGTCAGCTCTCAAAGCACTTTATAAACCTACACAGGTACCAACTGTACAAAGGTCACCTGAAATGCAGTCATCTCCAGGGTGGAAGACAGCACCTCTTTAACTGTACACAGCTACACTACAGTTTAGGACTAGAAGTGAAGAGGAAGAACGTATTTAATAGTAAGTAAAGGGGGAATTTTGGCAGAAGGATGTAGCTACAGCTGGAGTTTGGCCAAGCCACTGAAGTTGGCCTCCCTTTCCAAGAATTACCATTTGATAATTAACATGTAAAAGAGGTCAGGGAATTGGTTTCACGGCATCTCCAGCAGCAGCACAGAGCCACGCTGGGACACCAAGCTGGGACACTGGTTCTGTAAAGACCGCCAGGGAAGAGCGCTATGTACTGAATCACCAACACTATATCCTGCAATTCTGTTTTTCCTGGAAGTCTCCCATCCACATACTGACAGTTACCATTCTGCTTAGCAATAAGAACAGGCATTTTCCAGGCTGTTGGCTAAGTATATGTTATATCTGTGCAGTGTCCAAGCACTGCATCTTATCTTCAGATCTCCCAGGTTTGGTGGGACACATAGAAACCTTTAATTGCAGCCCCAGCCTCCTGCATCCCACATACTATCCTAATGCCTTGGGCAAGAAATCAGTGCAGGAATCTAGAAACCATGAAACCTAATCTCTTAATGGAAGCCAAATAATTCCTCTACTGATATCAAAGACAGCCTAATTTAAACACATGCAATTTCCCTGTTGCTCCTGTTGAAACAGAGATACTGGTCTCTGGGGGACTGATGTAAGCAGGAAGAGAGGAGTGGATTTTACAAAGGGACGTTTCAGATCATTGCCACATACATTGCTGGTGAGTTCGTGAACTGTCCCATCTTTCGGCATGTTATACTCCTTGTCTGGATCATTCTTACAAGGGAGGAGAAAAAGATACAGATAAAATAGTTAATGAAAGTAAAAAAAAAAAAATCAAACATTGCTTTTCAGGCAAGTTTATTGACAAGGTTGTTTTTCCAAGCTTCCTCAATATTGTCCTCACCCTAATGCTCACAACCCCATCTACTGGTGACCAGAGGCTACAACGTCAAAGCAGTCCATAGCAAAGGCGGAAAAAGACAGCTAAAGGCAAAACCTGCTTGCTCCAAAACGTATGGATTCATTAAAGACTATCTTACGGTCATCATAAGTTCGGTTCACCAATGTTAATGGATTGATTTAGCGAGAACTCTCCCTTTAGCTGGAGACTGTTTCAAAATTTGGGGCAGGTAAATTTAACTCAAATATTTTCTTATTTTTAAAAAAAAAGATCTCAGGTCATTTTCAAAACGTATGTGCAGTCTTGGCTTTCCCTGTAAAATGATTTGCAGTACTGTGCATTAGGGACATTAAACAGAGAACTGCATTACAATGCAGGTTTAATTATAAATACATTTTAAAACAAGGGTTAGCAAAGTCTATTCCTCCTTACCCTAACAAGTCAGCACTCTGCATTTCTTTTGCAACTGATACCTAAGGCAATGAAGGGAATGCAGCTCTTGAATTACTTAAGTTGTTGGTAAGGTTGCCATCTCGCAGAAGAAACAGGAAGCTGAACTCAGGTCATTGTTCATTAATATAATATCGCCACAGTTCAGCCTGGTGATTGATTCTCTTAGGTTACTGAAGAAGAGACCAGTGGAGCGGCAGTTACCTTAATGTTGTCTGCAAAGTCCTCCAGTGCTTTTGCACCTGTGGTTTCCATGGAGGTGATCAGCCCTGGAAGCTTGTTCTTTGTGCTGGCTGCAGTGCCCTGGAATGGCCCAGTGCAGGGCATAAGATGTCTCAGTGAAGATGGCTGTCACTACCTCCCCTTTCACCCACCATCCAACCTTCCCATCATCCCTCAGGGCATCTCTCAGTCTCAATTCCCTTAGTGGTGGGACTTTGCTGGAAGAATATTTACAGTCTAGTAAACCATAGATTCTCATCAGAAATGCCACTGATTGGTTCAGCTGGCAGCAGAAGGGAAGTCCCAAATGAGCCTGGAGCTGAATCCCTATTTTATAATTTATTGATTTCCCCTCTTAAAACACTTGCAGCCACGAGGCTGCACATTGTGGCCACCAATCTCCAACCATGCGGGGGGAGGGGGCGGGAGGGTGACTCTTTGCTCAAACTGACCAGTGAGGGGGAGGAGGCAATTTAACAGCTGAACCCAATGCAATGATAAGGAGCCTCACCAAAGCTGGACATAGTGCCTGGCCCCTGGAGAGTTTTTTTGCAGCCGAGTGGCACATTGTAGTTTTTAAACCCATTTACAGCTGTTACAAATGAGCTTAATCCACCAATCTCTGACCTAAAAGAACCTCTATTTAACACTATCATCTGCTAGGCCCCTCCTCAGAACAACTAGCCTTTCAGATGATATGAGAAGACTTCCTTAAGAGCACATTCTTAACTAGATTCAATGGTATTGAAGATTAATGACCACAGGCGTGGTCAGAGGTGTGGTACAAGAACCTAGACATAGCCCGTCACCTGGTATCTGAGCTCCAAATTACTACTTTAACTGGAGAGAACTGTTACTAACTGATGCACGATTCTCCTTTCTCCAGGGATAGAGCAAACTGCCTCTGCATCATTCCCAGTCCTTGATGGCTCAGGGAACGAGAAACTGGGACTCCAAGCTGGGTCTACTGCATGTTAGTGAGTGGCACAACCATATTGCTGGTTGGGTTCTGTTCTAAGGTTTTTAATATTTTTGGCTATCGTAAAAGTCACTTAAGAACCACTACAGACAAAGCTGCAGGACTTTCTCCAGTCACCACCTACCTGTAAGACTTGATCAAACTCTGGCTTTGTCTGCTTCAGGTGTCTGAGGATGGGGAAGATGGTGAGCACAGCTGAATAGTCATGCCGAATGATGGCCTTCCGGGCTGCTGAGACAATGTTATCCCCCTCTATCATCAGGTTATCCAGAGACTCCTACAAGACAACCACCAGAAACAGGGAGATGCGTCTTCCACTCAGGAAGCACCAGGTGAACAGAGGGAAGTAGGCAGGGAATGGTTCTGCAAACCAAACAATACAAATCAAACCAAGACGATGAGCTTAAGGGACCTGAATGAGGGAGTCAAAGGTCTTCTTCTGGTGGTGCTCTGGGATGATTTCTGTCAGGAGCTGGTACTCGCTCTGGGCCAGTTTCACAAAGGCGCTAACACAGTGAATGTACGCATCAATCTCGATGTCCAACATGTCATCCCTCCCTGTGGGAACAGCACAAATATATGAGAGCCAGGCCCGTACTGATCCCTCCAGGGTCGCATTGACCCCACCAATGACATTTCTCATTCCAAGACCCTGGTTTACATACAGCTCTCTGGGTTCCCTCTGGAGCAGACAGTTCAGATATTTCACTTTAAAGTCATGTGCAGATGCGACCAGTCTGAGCACAGATCCCAAGACTGTGCCACAGATCCTGCCCCATAAGATTTGCTCCTGAAAGTTATACACACCCAGTAATGAGTGTGCATGGAGGTTTCAAGCTATGGAAAAAGGGACGCAGGAGTGCCATTTGCTCTCTCCAGCATCACAACAAAGCTTGTATTGGAGATGTTTGCTACCAGGACTGCAGGGTTGTGACTACATTTATTAGGGGTAGGAACAAGCTGTTCTAAGACTGGGAAGGGATGAGAGGACTGCAGTGAATTGTTCAACACCTTTTCTGGTTTTATTTTTAGTGAGTCTAAATGGTTTCCACCCCTCACGCTGATGAACTACTGCCATTGTGAATCGGCATTTCTGGGAATGCAACGCTTCCCTGGAAGACATCTGCTCCCCATGGAGAGCAGCTCACTACTAGAGTGCAGGAGAACATTTAAATCCTATGCTCCTGGAATGTCAGAACGGTTATGCATGAGATTTGCCACATGGGGCTGGATGTGCACACAGGACAGCCAGGAACTCTTAAATCCTCTGCTATTTGAAGAGTCTACCTGTATCTGCTACACAGCGAGAAAACCGGGGAGGGGCTGGCTTCTCCCAGACACTATACACAGTTCCTTTCCAACCCAATATCTGCGGCATGTGATGGAAATAGAGTCACTCATCATACCGATGGAAGTCCTTTAGGTCAGCCTGTAACAGGGATGCTCAAAGTCTGGCACAAACATGACACACAATTCTAAAATTGTGGTCTACAGACTAGAAAGGACCAAAATGGAGTATTGCATGCTGGGACCTGTAGTCTTTTGGCTCCTTCTCAGTACTGAGGAAGCCAGTAGCTGCAATCTGTTCCATTTTCTATGAGACAGGAACAGCCCTCCAGACAGAGGATAATCTTTGGTTGGGCAAAGTTTGGGCCCCCCTGCTTTAGAGAGTAGGGCATGCCTGCCTAGTAGGAACAAGTTCTCTTGAACAGACAAGAGTAAAAGCTTTATAACCAGAGATGGCCCCTGCTCCATGACTGCCCACATGGAAGGAAAGTCACTGGCTAAGAGACTCCGCAAAACATGCTGAAAAGAAGGGACATTAGCCAGCTTGTTATTACGACGCGGTACTTACCAGCAGCTGGCCCATGCTTGTCGTTCAGGGTATCGGAAAGGTGTTTAACTCGTAAATCATGCTCATGACCTAGTGAGATGTCAGCCGGCACAAACAGAAGGCTCAGTTTATCCAGGGTGGGTACAGCATGGATGCTCACGCAGGCCGGAAGCCACTTCAAGCTTTGGTTATTCAGTCTGTCAGAAACCTACACACACATGCTGTCCTGGAAAGCCTACCCATGTCCCCTCTCTGGGCACCATAGCAGGAGTAGCCCTTTGAAGCCTGAGGGGAAGTGTGAACCAGACATACAATTTGCCAAGCCCAAGATGCCCTTCACACCTCTTGGCACAAGCTCTACCTGAGATAGTGGGCATGGGGAATCCAATTTGCACATTGGCTGTTAAGAGCCAGAACTCAGACAGTCACCTCTGCCATTCAGTATTTGGGAAGTGTTTTTGAAAGGGTAATTGTAGCTCCTGAGGTCCCTTTTACAGTTGTGTGAACTAAAATATAGGTGAAAATATCTATATGCAGATGAAGTTGCAATCATTTCCTTCAAGCTGATCTCTTTATCGTTACAGGAATAGAAAGAGCCTGAAGATATTTTAAAGCAAGTGATCTCTCTGCTTGCCCATCTTGTTCAAGTCCCCAGGCAGACAGCAGAGCCAGGGACGACGTTTTGGGATGCAGGGGCAAACTTGCTTGTTGCTGCCTTTTGTGCATACCTCTGAGGAGGAGGACAGCAAATTGGATCTTGGGCCGGTGCTGGTCTGACACATTCTTATCAGGGTTGGAAGGGCCACTACCAATCTGAAGCCTTCTTAAAGTTCAGGCAAAGTGAAACAGAGACGGAAACACCAAGGGGGATGTCACTAAGGCAGAGCAGAGCTTCCCTTAGCCAGCCAACTGTATAATGGATTGACTTTTCCAAGATCAGTTGGCCCATGACCTTACAGAGCCAGCTGAAGAATGGCTTGCTACCCTGGTTTTAATGTTCCATTCCTTTATCTTGTACCATGTTTTGAGTCCTACACAAATTAACACTCTTCAATCAGTGTAGCTCCTTTGTCAAGTTACCCTACGATCCCCATAGGATAAAGGTTAACACTACCCACACAGTGGGGCTGTGGGCTAATGGAAGCCCTGCCTGGGGAAGTAGATCTGATATATAGTAAAGATCCAAGGGTGAAGAGTGAGAGATGTGATTACCTTCCATAGGAATGAGGTTAGAGGCCCCCTTTTTCCCATCTAGACCATGCTGAGAATACTGTTTCAGAAGGTTCTGAGCCTTCCGGATCGTGCCTGTCACCAGAGCCACAAAGAGAAGAGACAAGAAGACCTAGGAAATGAGTGAGAAAAAAACACCAGCAGCCCTCCACCAGTGCTAGTCATTGCAACCCAGTGAGATTATAATGGGCAACAGTGAGCATGCTCAGTACACACACACGAACCCCAAACTGGGTACCAGATGTGCCATCACAATGGCCTATCCAAATCTGTGGCTTCCTTCTTACTTGAGAAGGCAGAACTCAAACCAAGCATTGCGGAATCAGCTTCAACATGCTTCGGAGGTACTGGGGATGGGGGAAAAAGGTCAAATCCGCTGAGAAAGGAGGCCAGGAAGCATCCCTCCAGGGACACTGTGATTGAACTTGGGCACAAAATGCTTAAGACGACAATTCCCTGCTGTGTGAAAGCAGGTACTCACGATCAGTCCAAACCTTCATATTATCCACCAACAGTCCCCCACAAACCAAGGGCATCCAGTGACCTTTACTACACACCAAGAAACCTGACCAGGCAATTAACACTACAGAAAGATATGCCCACCCTGGGAGGTGTTTTATGAGCATGCTCAGTGTGGATCAACGAGGATTCTAACAGCGGAGGTGAAGGAGAATCTCTTGCAGTACAGGGCTAACAACAACAGCATCAGGCACCAGTAGCCAAAGAGTGATTAGGGCACAGAATCTTCTCATCCCCCTTCCCTAGTTCTAGAATAAAAGGGGGCATGGTGAAGCCAATCACCAGGACACTATCCTTTTGAGGAACTGCAAATCAATTAAGCCACAGAAAAAGACAATTAATATTAAAAAATACAACAGACAGCATTAAGCAATAGCTGGTGCTGGACCCCCTGGCTAGGAAGCGCTGCAAGCACAAAACAGAAAGCATTAAAGTGTCAAGTGTAAACTAAGCACTGCTTACATATGGAAAGGTTAGTTTTAGCTCATGGTATGAACATTAACAGAAAACCCCACAGACACATACACACACGGACACCCCAAGGCAGATACTGCTGTCACATTGCTGCATGAATGTGGAACTGAAAACTTTGGAAAGGTATAAGCCGCTCTCTGGAGGGTTAACATGAAATGCAAATAAATTAACAAAAAAATCAAAACATAGCCAAAATACAAAGCAAAACTTGCACTTTTTATTTTAAAAAATCATAACATGCACCAACGCCCAACTTCCAGCAGCAACTCTGGCTGCCACATCACAGGTGCTATTAGCTAGTCTGGAGATCAGTGTTAAGAGAACTGGTTTACACTGAAAAGTGAGAAGTCTTATCCTAACCTCCTGCCAAAGTTTAAACTATAGGACAGGGCGTAGGGGTGCTAGCTGTTCCACCAAAGGACAATGGTAGCTTCCCTCTCCCCTTACCCAGGTGCTCAAGGGAAGGTTTATGCATGTGTGGATAACTGGGAGACACAGGAGGTAGAATGTCTTTGGGAAGATCAGGCTCCCAAATTGGGTAGGATGGGAGTGGGTTGAAGACCCCAAGTGTGTTAAGTTCACTTCCCAATTCTAAAACATTAACCCTTGAGTAAAACACCTCACTTGCAACATTTTCTTTTTCTGATTCATCCCACCAATTTACAAAATGGTCTTAACCACTTATTGAAAAAATCTCAATAGAACAAATTCACACGGTGGTAATTTTCTTACTTCCACACATTCCAAAGGCTTGGGAAGAGTCACGTCCACTTCCTATATTGATATCACTTACTCCACAGGCCTCTGCAGTATTTGTTTTTATGTAATCTTCTACCCAGATCCTAACTGATTCATCTGGGGCAGTTTTAAAACACACGAGTTCTTTTCATACCAACACCTCCAATTTGTTACAGGCACTTTCAGAAATCTTACTTACAACAGAACTTATTTTGTTGTTTCCAATGGCCTAAAATGTGTATGAATCCTGGAAACATTTCTGGTGGTCTCTGGTTTTATAAGCATTCGTGCAACCCCTCTCCCCACATATATTATAAATTGGAGTCAAATGTAAATTGCAGATATCACTCCTGCTGATCTGTCATGTTGTCAGTAAGAATGCATTTAGCATGCATGCAGCACACATCAGTAGGAATAGCTAGTCCTAGTGGCATGACCCACAACCTCTTGACATGCTTGTCTCAGATAAGAGCTGCGCTGTCAGTTGTGCATTTTCTCATTTGCACACAATCAATCAGATGCATTCACATTCAGACATAGCAAGTGTTTGTGTGATTATTTCAATGCTGCTGCATCCCTGGTACTTTGTATCACAATTAGGCCTTAATGGATTCTATTGAAGCCAAATGCCTGTGTTCTATGATTATTTCCTCTGATTAGCCAGCTTTCAAATCAAATGGGATAGTGCAGCAGTTACTAATGAAGGCATCAAATTCAAGAGCTGAGTAGGGATCTAACTGGGGACACAGAAACAGGCTATTCATCCTGCTGCTCAAAGATTATATTGCCTTCCGCATGGTACCACCTCCCCAACCGCTAGGTAAACTGGAACAGAAAGAAATTAACTGATATGAGCATAAGCTGATGCTTATGGAAAAAGGCCAATACACTCCTGGAGAACAGTCAAGGTCACCTCCAGAAAATTAATGAGCCTTTCCCTCCCACTAGGGTCAAATATAAGGTGCAAATTCTCAGACTGCTCTGCTGTCGTTTCCAATATGGCAGTTTCCCATCCTCTGAGCAGTTTTCTAATGCAACAGAAAGTAGCTGTGCTCCCTATTTCCTTGTGAATTGACAGCAGGGTGTCTGTAGGAGAGTGGGTGAAATTCAATGGCCTTTGTACGGAGAGGGTCAGACATGATGATCATAATGGTCTTTTCTGGACTTACAAGTCTATGAACACCCAACAGTTCTGGAAAGAGGTTTCTTTAGTTAGCGCCTCCTACTGGCTCTAGAACAGCAGTTAACACAGTGGGGTTTGGTGTACCACACAAAAATGGCAGCTTTTTAAAAGCTTCTTGCCAGCAGAGTGGCAGATGTTTTAAGAATGATATTTAGAACGGGGGATTTTTCTCGCTGTGCTGTAGCAATTTTAGGGCAAGTACCCCTTTGGAGCCCCAACTACTCTTGCTCTCTTTGATGCAGAGCTAAAATTTAGGAGTGGGAAGTGATCAGTGTTTTAAAAGGGCTGTAAAGCATTATGCCTCCAATGAAACATGTGACAAGTTCCACTCATTTGCCAGCAGATGCCTTCATTTTAGGTTAGCTTTAAGAGCGTCTCCGTCTCACGATGAAGGATGTTGGAATGCATTTCATTGAATCGCTGAAATTTCATTCCAAAGCTTTAGAAACCTTGTTCATTTTATCTAGCCCACAGCTGTGAAAAGGATCATTTTGGAGAACTATGAAGGCCTTACAAGTATGTGATGTGACCTCAGGAGGGTGCTGAAGTAGTATGTGGTACAACTGCAAAAGAAACGGTGATGGTGATACAAGACTGCATTGACACAACGAACAGGTATTGATAAAAAGCTCCTCAGAACCCAGCTTAATCCTGGTGGGTTCTCTGGCTTGCAGCCCTGCCCTCATACCTTGCCATCATTTTCACAGACACTAGCACCTTTGGACTTTGCTTAGCATGTGAAAGGGCTGTAGCACAGATTTATTTAGTGATTTATTCTTTGCAACAGATTAAAGTGTGGGTCAGGGTCTGTGCTGGGATATTGTTCCATTAGGACTGGGGAGCTCTTAACCTATATGCTTGAACTACCAGATACCCTCCTTTTAATGCTGCCTGAGATTTGATCTGGAGTTAGCTTTGATCACTGAATCAATGGCATAGAAAACATAGCAATTTCCTTGCCCAAACTTCAGAACTATGAAGATTAAAATAAGGGGCAATTAAACCCCAATAGAAGAATTTTGTTATGGAGTGCCACCGTTCTGATTTGGAGATTGGTTAGATCATCTCCAGAGCCGTCCCTGAAAGCTGATGAGTCTGTGGGAAATAAGATGGGCCAATGCCAGGAGGTGAAATAGGAAAGGCTAGGAAAAGATTTCATTTCTGGGTAACTATGCAGTTACAACACATGGCAGGTGTATTTGGAGATGGACAAGCCACTAAGAACTTGAGCCTGGTTCAGAGAGAGACTCTGTCCTTGTCTGAGAATATGGAAGACACGAATTAGCTACTATTATTTCTTGAGACTCACAATACCCTAGATGATCACTTTATTGGATCTCTATTTGACACATGTAATGTCATCTCCATTTGCTCATCTTCTGATTTGTTTCTGTAACCCAGAAACACAAATACAAACACAGCCACTGCTTGGCTTATCCTACAAACTCTCTGGCTAAACACAGATCTAGGCCAAAATTTCCAAAGTGACTAGTGGTATTGGGTGCTCAAATGGAGACCTTTTGAGCCTGGTTTTCCTGTATAGTTTCAAAGTCAGATGGTATTGAAGATTGGGGAGCAGATCCTAAATGTAAATCAGCGCAACTAGACTGACTTCAATGAAGGTAAACCGCTTTACGCCTACTGAGGCTCCAGTCCTAAGCCTTTTTTGCCTGTCTAGCTGCAGCTGTCTAGCACAGAAGTGCTAAATAACCAGAAAAAAAAAGTCTTAACATCTGCTTTCCTTATTGTAATTATTTGATAGAGCAGGTGTTCCCATCAGGGATGCAGAACACAGAATCAAGTATTATTATGCTTAAGAATTTGGGCTGGATTAAATATGGAAAAACACTGACTCCCCTTAGCAAAAATATCTACACCCACAGCCATTATCTTTCTGGACAGAGGTTTACATGATCTACTCCATCCTGCAAAACTCAGCAGTAACGCCAATGGCAAGAATGGAAATTCACACCTCTCCAGGTGGCTCTCTGGAGACAGGAAGAGAGCTGTCAAACTCAGGTTCACTGTAGCTGGTTATACAAGTCATGCCAAAACCTTCCATGTCTTTCATAGCTCTCTGAACTGTCAGCTTTCAGGAACAGCTCTGATGCATGGTACTGAATGTGGGGGTGCACGTTTTAATATCTAGTTATGTGGTCACCAGTTTTAAAGGTCTTCACTAGCAGATTTTCCCTTTAAATATCCCAGGCACACCCTTTGCTATTAGCAGGAAGAGGACTGACTAGGAAGTAAAGAGGGACCCGGCAAGCTGCAGAGGAGACACACACAAAAACAAAGTTTACCTGGAATGAAGACTGTCATTCACATAAGGATTATAAAAATAAAGACAACACAATTAAAATGCATACTTTCCTTCCTCCTCTCTGGGCCCTCCACCAATTGCCACTCCCTCCTCTCCAATTTTTTTTGCATATAGGAAGAGCAATAATCTGGGATCCATACTAGAAATAGCTACATTTGAAATGATTTCTTCTGCACAAGCAAACAAATTGCATATTAAGTAGATTGGACCAGATGTGCCAGAACCTTGTGAGTGCTATGTTGAAAGAAGATCCTAACAGAGGATCTGATATTCATTCTGAATTTGTAGGTGGTTCTTTTTTAGTGCTACTGAAAGTGTTAGACAGACAGCCCTGGAGAGTAAAGTCCTTACTCCACAAAACAGGGACAGTGGCGGGGGAAGCCTTCCCCACAGATATGCCATAACCATGACCTGGAGAGTCCATCTCTGGGGGGAGTGGGCAGTTCAGTTTCCATAGCTTGCTAAATCCTTGGTCTCTTTGCTCAGACACAGTTTTAGGATCACAGGACTTCCCAGACTGGATCAGGCCTACTGTCCATCTAGTCCAACATTCCATCTGACAGTGGCCAGAACCAGATGTTTCAAAGAAAGGTGTAAGAACACCGCAGTAGGCAGATATGAGTTAATCTACCATCCACACGGGTCTCTCCTTAGTGTCTAATAGTTAAAGATTGGCTTAGGCACAGAACCACAAAGTTTCCAAAACGGTTATTAATTATGACAACTCTGGATAGTTACAATATCAATATACATGTCCAATCCCTTTGAGACCAAAAATTTAGCAAAATTCAAAATGACTTCCTGTGGCGGTGAGCTCCACAGTTTAATTACATGTGGTGTTAAACAGTATTTCATTTTGCCTGTTTTGAATTTCCCACCTTATAACTTCATAGAATATCCCTTTTCTCTCACGTTATGAGACAGAGAGAACAGAAGTTCTCAATCTGCCTTCTCTACATCATTCACTACTTTACTGACTTATGTTCCCTCCTATCTGTCTCCTTTCTAAGGTAAGCAATCCCAATCTTTGCAATCTCTCTTCATACAGGAGTGTTTTTTTAAAATGTCCCCTGAAATATGGACTGGATGAGTCAACAAAATAAGAGATGAAAGAGGGTCTATAATCTAGGAGCTTGACCCAATGTGAAAGTCCCTTATAAGCAAAAAGGTGTTTGCCATTCAACTCCCACCCACCCTGCTGCCTTCAGAACAACTTTTATGACTAGATGCTACCCCATGAGATGGAGAGGCACAAAGGAAAACTCAGGTCAGTGAGAGAGACACCCATCACAAACAAGTGGAACAACATGCTTGGTGGATGTTCTTTCGCATCAGGGCAGGAAACTGATCCTTAAATTCTGGAACTAACCTGGTCTCTTGATAGGCTTTTTGGTCGGTGTGTCCTTCCTCTTGTTCTGAATGGCGGGGGAGTACGGGATGCCTGTGGAGGAGCTGTTCTTACGGAAATGCTCCTTCAGACCTTTGATGGAGCGGTCGAGCTGGCTAGAGCGGATTTGGTAATAAACATTCATGAAGTCTAAGGAGACAAGACAAAGGTATGACCGGTAACCAAACTCAAGGCATTCTTTGCACAATGAGGATGCTGTTGCTGGATCTTTCCTGAAAACAGACTGCACAAAAGAGACTGACCTGCTTTGACTGGGGTCCCACATTCAAGTTCTTACCTATAGATCTGTCCTAGGGATCTTTTGCTTTAAAGAAATTGATCCTACATTGTACACTCTTTGGGGAAGGGAGTAAATTTGCTATTCTCTCTATTTAACAGAGGGGGAAACTGAGCACAGAAGGGTTAAACGACTTCCAAAAGATTATTATAAGCACTACGGAAAAATAGGATTTAAAAAGAATGATAAAATGGGTTGATACAAGGAATCTGATTTACACTACTCACCTAGAAATGCCTTTAAAAGACAGTCAGACGCTTTGCTACCATTCTTTGTCAGTTTCCAAATGCAATGTGATCTCTTGGCTCCTTAGCTGCAGAACTACCCTGAAAACAGACCTGACTGCTGAGAGGAGAGATAGCTTACTGGCCGAGTTCCACAGTGACACAGACAGCCCTCAGCAGACAGGTTTTGCTCTCAGCAAAGTGCAATAACATGGTTGATGGAGACCACTGGAGTGATCAAGATAAACATATCATGTATCACATATCTGCTTGTCTCAGAGATTGGCTCACTTAGGGATTCGTTTTAGTTTACCTTGGTTTCTTCCATACTCCACCAGCCAAAGGGAGATACGGACAATGTCTTGCAAGACACTCTCAGGGAGGTGTTCCAAAATCATATCTTCCTGCGTATCAATCTCATCATCCCCACTGATCAGATCCAGGATGAGGATTGGAGGAACTGGCTTGGTGTGTCGCGTCATCAGACTGCGGAATTCTGATTCCAGAGATTCCTTCCCCCTCTCAAACAGGGATTTCTGGAGGAGAGAGAGCAGAGACAAGAGAAACAAAGAAGTGTTTCTGCAACCTCTCCCAAAATCTTTAAACATCACCTAATCTCTAGCGTTCCTAAATACTGTGTACCACTGACATCTGCTACCAAATGCAATGTAGCCTATTGTCAAGAGAGTTTTAAAAAGTAAGGAGTTGGGAAAAACAAAGTCAAGGAATTACTCTGCAGCTGAGCAGCACAAAACTTCATCCCCTGCAACCTCTCTAGCTGTTAAGGAAAAGGCAATAGATATTCAAAGGGAGTTCTAAGCATTTGCAATGATCTGGAAAGATGGGGTCACATTCTGCTCTCAGTTACACTGCTGCAAATCCATCGAATTCAATGCAATTACTCCAGGTTTCCACTGGGGTAACAGCAGATCTGGCCAATAGTATTTATAATAGGAGGTCTTGAAAGAGAGGAGGAAAGCGATCAATGGTCCAACATTAGTGCTTGGAATAATTGTTTCTGAAAGTACTGCCTCACCAAAGTGTCCATAGCCCAGGTAGCTTAACAGAAGCTAAGTTTAGAAAGAAAAAAAATAAAAAAGTAAGATCTTACGAATTGTTCTGATTCCTTTCTTGTTTCCCCCACAATGCTTCAGTTGGGACAGTTTTAGCAGCTGAGATCTCAAAATGTTAGTTAGCAATTAATGCTTCATACCATGTGAAAGCTGGAATTTCAAGCTGCTTTCAGATAGTAAAGCCTCCTAGCTCTAACTGTTCTTGTGACAGCAGCTGTTAAAATAATGCCAGAATTTAAGTTGTGGCACAGAGCGGAGAAGGGATCACAGGTGGTGGTGAAAGAATTCAAGATAGCGATGAGCATATGGGATTAATTTAAGTGTTGATACAGTATTTGATCTATTTTAGGTACTTATATGACCTCCATTAGTGCAGTATATGAATGCTTCATAATCTCATGTATTTATCCTCAACTCACTGTGAGGCAGGGCAGTATGGAGTCTGTGGTGGAGCAGGGAACTGAACCCGAGTCTCCCAAATCCCAGCCTAACCACTGGCCTATCCCTCCTCTCATATCACCAGAGCTAGAGACTAATCTGTCATAGCCAGGATTTCTAGAAACCTAAGGGAGTTAGGCATCCAAATCCCATTAAATTAAAAGCACCTAACTCCCTTGGGCACCTTTGCAAACCCCAACCTATACTAGTTAGCAAAGCTCAGTTTCTCTGTTTTCAAAGTGCATGAACATTTGTTTCTTATCCTGGGGATCCATGGGCTACATTACCTCACACTACCAGTGTTTCATAATGATCCAGGAAATGAGCGTAGCAAACCCTGGATGGCGGATTAAAGATATTTTCTATCTTTGCTAGGAGTAAGAAATAATTTAGGTGCATGCAAGGTACATGCTTTCAGCTATTGTAGATCTTATTGGTACAGAATACTAGGAAAGCTAACAGTCAGGAGGTAAAGCATTATCCTTGCTAACAAATCTAATCGGGATCCTAAGAGAATGCTCCTACAAACAAACCTCACTTTGCCACTACTTGCCAATATGCTGCAGATGTCAGAGAAGCAGATGCCCACACAATACCCCTGGTTTTCAAGCACATTACATACCACCCGGTTCAGTTCTGGGCTGTCAGGATTGTTGTCCTGGAAATATTCTACAGCCTTCTGGATTCTGGCCATGCAGCCCAAATACTCCTCTAGTCTCCCCGTAGGGCTGAAATTGAAATAGTGCACGCATGAGAAAGACACCAGAAACCTCAACAACGGTTGGAACAAAACCAGTGAAGACCTCAACTCCACTTTCTTCAGTCAGAGATTAAAGGGAATTTTACAACTGCCTCCACTCACCGCCACCTCCCCCCACCACCCCAAATCACTAGGCGACTTAGAAAGATTTGCTTTAAAAAGACCTGATTCAAGCAAAAATGGCAGCCCACACAGCAGCCCATGGTCAGTGTACCACAGTGCTATGAGACTGGGTTCAATCTGCAGGATCTCACTTCCCAAGCCAGCAATTGCTTTCCTCGTTATTCCCACCAACACACTAAGCTCCTGGTGGGATGGGAGCATTTCATACAGCACCACAGTAACCCCTCTGGGCAACCCAAGTGCAAGCATCACTAGCTCCGTAAAAGGACACCCATCCAGTCCACGTTGGCTGGAAAGATGGAGGCAACTACAAGAAAGCAAAGTGCCACTGTAGAAAAATTTGGAGAATGGGAAGAAAGGAATGAACACAATGGATGGGAACTCCACACAGGGATCGGGTGCAGAATATGTAAGAGGACCCCAGTGTGGATGTGAGAGCAGGGTTTTACCCTTAGAGGTTTTGCTAAAAGTTCACGCTGAGTTTCCTCTGGGGTAGGCACATAGGTATATAAAAATACAAAGAACAATAACAAGATTTTTGTAGAGACCTGCCCAATCAACTGCCCCTATTCAAAACAGAGATGGGAGAAAGATCCGGCAGAGGAAAGTAGGGGCCTACTACTTGACTTACCCTTCCTTTATGATCTTCTCTGTGTCCTTAGCCACATGGTAATAACTAATGACATGATCCAGACAGGACAGGGTCTTCTCAACATTCTCCTGCAGACGTTGTAGATTCTCTGTCTGCTTATGTACAGGGATGATAGAGTTCTCCAGCTTCATCAAACGGCTCTCAAAGGAGGAGAGGATGGAAACCTAAACCCCCAAAAAGGATCAAACAGCATGGAGTATTTCCTTCCACATAAAACACAACTGTATTGTGGGCTAGTAGTTAGAACAGGGTACTTAGGAATCCTGACTCCCAGCTTCTATTCCTGGCTCTGCCACTGGCTTGCTTGTCTCCTTGGGCAGGTCACTTAACCTCCCTATGCTTCAGCTTTCCAATGCGTATATGGAAGTAATATTTACCCACCACATAAGCATATGGTGATGTTTAATTAGCATATGTATAGCACTCAAATCATCACACAAATTATTTGACAGCCTGGGAAACCTATCCAAAAGGAGACAAACTGTAGGTGCCTCAGGTCAGGGGAAAGGCTGAAGCAGAACCTACCGAATACTTTGCTCAATTGCACTGAGTACATTTGAATGAATCTTACAATGAAGAAGCCATTTGACTGATGTTCACAGCTCTGCTCTGCCATGGCTATTTGGCTGTCAAGAAACTCCAAGTTTGCAACCTACTGAATTGGCGGGCAGGTGGCCTCAGGAAAAGAGGATGTTATGGAGGAACAAAGTTCGTCAAAGTCCTTCCTGCTTTTCGCCAAGATCACCTCTGTCTTGTCTTGGTTCAGCACAATCTCTCAGCTTTCCCAATACCTAGCTGAGTTCAGGTCCTGGACAAAGAGCAGCTGAAGCCAAAACTTAGCAAGAAAGAGGGGATACTGGCATGAAAAGTATGTTAAGAACTCACCTCCTTTATATCACCCCTTCTGTCAGAGGTTCCTGCCATCAGATCATGACAGAGGTTTACAATGTTAGGGTTATTTTGGACATCTTGCAACAGCAAACAAAAATACAATCCATCCAGTCAGACTCAGATCTCGCTACAGCAATCCAGACTCAATTACTGACATTCAAAAGTAGGATTAAGGAGTGGTGGTGGTGGTGGGGATTCATTAGGCACAGAATGCAGCAACCCACCTGTTAAGCAACACATGTGCCCATGAGCACATCAACGGTTTCTCCCTGTGCATGGGCTCCCTAATTCATACCAAATCCAATTCTGGGCCTCTGTTCTGATGCGATAGATAACCAGTCACCTCTCCCTCCACAACCAAGATTACTAACATCAGCTACATTCCACTGACACTACAAAACTGTCAACCAACATGGGAAGGCTTATGAGCTTAGGAGACAGATCTTTCAGAGAGGAACTGGACCTAGGCTCCAGAACTCACTACCAGATGAGTTCAGAAAGATCTCTAAGTACATTGTATTTTTACAAATAAGTGCAAAACTCATCTCTTCAACTTAGCTTTCCAATAGCTCTTCACCCCTGAGCCCTGACACACAGAACATTAGCTGTTTTCCCTGCTAGCTGGAGAGAGTTTATTTCTATTGACATAGACTTGCGAGGTACTAAAATACTGAGATGAGGAGAGCCATATAGAAACCTAGATAGGTTAGATCAGATCAGATTGAAGGATCATTTGGACCCAAGTTTCCAGAACTGACAAGCTTGTGCCCCAATACACACTGTAACCTTTCCTCAAGATGTCTAATCTAAAGAAAGTACCTGTTGAACCCACAAGTTCCGCAAAGCCTATCCGACCCTTTTAACTTAATTTACGGGACTCTACTTACCATGTTTTTGGTGAGCTGATCACTCTTTTCAAGACTCTCTCTTATAAAGGACAGCGTTTCTTCTTCCTGTCATTGGAATGAAGTAGGATTCAATAGTTCTGCATGATAGGTGAATTTCAAACCTTACACAAAAGGGTCAAAGAATAAATACTTCTGTGCATTTCTAACTCCTGATAAAGAAAATGGCAAGTAATTTCGGTTGAGTTTAAAAACACATGCCTTTAATTAGAACAGAAAACTTAACATGATATAACTATTTTTTTAATTTCACTAAAGAGGTATCCTGGATTTAGACATTTGTCTCTGGTGTTACAAACTTAAACACAACAAAATAGTGCTAGTGGGTGAGAATCAACTGATAATCTACATACAGAGTAGCACCAGTTAGACCAGGGGTCTCAAACACGCAGCCCACGGAGTTATTTGTTGCAGCCCGCCAAGCTCCCCGTGCTCCCCCCCGGCCCCGAGTTATTTCCTGCAGCCACCAAACTCCCCTCCCTCCAGCGAGCCGCATCCCCGCTCCTCTGCCTACTTCCAGGTGCTTCCCACCACCAAACAGCTGTTTGGTGGCGCTTAGCGCTTTCCAAGAGGGAAGGGGGAGGAACGGGGAGCTGCACGCTCAGGGGAGGAGGCAGAGAAGAGGCGGAGCAGGGGCGGGAATTTAGGGAAGGGGTTGGAATGGGGGCAGGGAAGGGGTGGGGCCTCATGGAAGGGGTGGAGTGGGGGCAGGGACAGCGGGGGTGTCAATGAAGCAGCCCTCGGGCCAATGTACTAGTCCTCATGTGGCCTCGTGGTGATCCGAGTTTCAGATCCCTGAGTTAGACTATAGGTTTTAATTTGTTTAAAAATCAATTAACCCAGTGTAGCAAACCCTTTTAATTCAATTTAAACCTGTCTTACGCCTGGTCTACACTACAAATTTAGGCCAATGTGAGTCACCTTGTATCGACCTCGTTGTGCATGTGACTACATTCAAATTTGTCTCCCACCAATGGAAGCGCCCCATTACGACAAAGCAATAAACACCACCTCCCTGAACGGCATTGAGCCATGGTCAATGTACTGTGGTTGACAGTGCAAGCGTAGACACCACATGACCTATATTGATCCTAACAGTCCTCCAGCAGCTTCCCACAATGCTCGACATCGACTGCTCTAGTCACAATTGTGAACGTCACTGCATAGGGGGCATAGAGACCCGGAATCCCCGCTTTAAAACCCCCACGTATTTTCAAAATGCCTTTCCCTGAACTCTCAGCTTGGCAAGCACACCTAGCAGCTCTCCCTTGTTGTGTGCAACTGCCCAAGTGAACATGCCAGCTACACGCTGCTGACACACTCCAGCCTGGAGCAGATAGGATGTCCTGATCTTCTGGGATTGTGGGGAGAAGAGGCTGTAAAGGCACAACTATGGAGCAGCTGTAGAACCGTGGACACTGGGCATGCCGGCAAACGGACATGACAGGGATCAGCAGCAGTTCTGCATGAAAGCAAAGGAACTGAGACAGGCATACAGAGTGGCCAACAGTTGATCTGGTGCCAAGCTGTATACCTGCCGCTTTTAAAATGAGCTGCAGCCATACTTGGCAGAGACCCACCAGCACCTTGCAGAGCATCGTGGATACCTCAGTGGAGCATGAGGCACAAACCCCTACCATGACCGGCAAAGGAGGAGGAGGAAGAGGATGGGGGACGGGTGACCTGGTGGTCCAGCGATACTGCAAGCCAGGATTCATTTAAGACTTCACTGCAGACTAGTCAGTCCTGGCAGCCAAGCATGGGCAAGCCCTATTCACAGGAAGAAACCTCAGGTGTGTAAATGTATTTCCCACTAAAATCTTTTAATGAACAGATGGTGCCTGACTCCAGTGTAGCAGGACACAGGTCGTGACTTTTCATTAATTTACTTGTACTAGAAGAGGTAGTGGTACAATAGAGGTCAAGTTGTAATTTGCTGTTCATTCCCCTCTAGGGTTGGGAGCAGTGGGCCTGAGAAGCAGTTTGTTCATGTACACAGGGATGTCCCTTGAATCCTGCTGAGTGATCTCGATGAAACTTCCATGGAGGTTCTCTGAAATCCTCTTCCTAATGTTTCTAGGGATTGCAGCCATCTTTCTTCCTCTGCGGTAGGGCGCTTTCCCACGCTCGTCCGCAGTGACTTCGGCAGGCGCCATTGCAGTACACAGGCTAGTGGCATGGGCAGCTTCGGGACAGCTGTGCTCTCTGTGCCTTTGCTACCCTCAGGAGCAAAATAGCAGCTAAAATCACCGCTGCCAGTGGAAAACAGTGCCAGTGCTCAGTGCCATTGCCCTGCACTCGTACCCAGGGAAACGAGCTGAGATTTTAGTGCTTCGGGTAGCCGAACAATTTCCTCCTTGTTTCCCCCTCCCCACAGCTAGGACCACACAGCAGTTCTGGGTGGGGGCGCTCCAAAGCTGAAGTGTCAATAAGCATGTCTTGATTAAAACATTTGGAGAGCAAGGGGAGGGAGTTCTCAGTCTTAACTTCCACTTTCCGTTGTGATTATAAAAACAAATGACACCTCTGTGTGCTTTGTGTGTAGCTGCTCCCTTTGTGGCCTTGAGGGGTCCCCACTCAACACTTGGGAACACCCGACCATGATAAGGAGGAGAAAGAAGAGGACACGGAAGGACATGTTCAGCGAGATCCTGCAAGCCAGGATTGCACTGGATTGTGAACAGGGAGTGTGGAGGGTGATTATTGCAGACAGTACGGGAGAAGGAAAGAGCAGACAGGAGAAAGGTGCAGGAATCAGAAAGGCAGGTACACCAGGAATAATGGGACTTCTCCGGCAGCAAACACAAATGCTGCAGACTCTTGTGGACCTACAGGTTCAAAAGTCAGGATCTTGCCTCCTTTTGCAACCAACGGGGAACTCAATTTTAACACCTCCCAACACGCCCCTCAACATTCAACTTCAGGGGCCTTATCCCTACCCCCACATCTCCATACCGGGGGACAGTAAGGAGAACTATAGCTTCACCTACACAGAGCTGAGAGAGCCATGGTTGCTGTATGTGTAGCCAAAATGGACACAAATATTCTTTTCCACTTGTTAAATTCTGTTCCATTAATTTATTTCAGAAGTATTTATTGTACTTGTTTTTTATTGCATATTGTTTTTCTGCAGTGGTTTTGGTATGCAAAAAAAATCTGTTCACAACATATGCTACAGAATGCCTAGCCTGAATGAAAACACCCACAACTTCTTACACTACAGAGTGACAGAACTCACAGATTCACTGACAAAAACTGTGTAATCATTATAAATGTACAGCAAGCACCACAAAATTAACAGGTGCATTAACAGATAGTGTTATAATAGATGTACACCAAATATCACACAATTCCTACTAGTGGGGGCCTTCCTGGCCCCCCAAATTAGCACAGGGCACCACACCTCATTACTGTTGCTGACTGGTAAAGTGCTCTTACAAGGCCTACCTCACCCACATAGCTCTGCACTGAGCTTTTCTAACTGCAGTTATGTCTAGCTACTCAGAACAGCGGCCTGCAGAGTTTATCTCCACCCCAGTGGCAACATTTCCCTCTTTGCTACACACAACAGGAGACAAACAAGCAGATACAACCATTGGGATATTTTTCTCACTGAGATCCAATCTGGTCAGTAAACAACATCAGCATCCCTTCAATCTACCAAAAGCACATTCAACTGTCATTCTAGACCTGCTGTGCCAATAGCTGAATCTTTTGCTGGTGTATGGCTCCAGGAGCCAGGGGAGCAAGGAGAAGGCTGCGTCCCTCAAGATCACTATTGGCATTTCAACATTGCCAATGGTAATCTGCCAGTCAGGAAAGAATGTCCCTGCCTGCAGCTTTCTGAACAGCCCTGTGTTCTTAAAGATGCGAGCATCAAGCACCTTCCCTGACCTGCCAACACGTGTTGGTGAAGTGTCCCTCATGATCCACCAGTGCTTGCATAATGCTTTTGTTGAGTTACTCTGTGGCAAGGCGAGCTGGTGCCAAAATAGGGAAATGCATGCTGTCCATTGCCCACTGCTGTTCAGGAACCCCATTGCTGAAAATCCATCTATGTCCTGCACACTGAGTAGCAGGAGACGATTAATGGCCGTGTACACTTGCATGACAACAGCCCCTACTGTGGATTTTTTCAAATCCAAAACAATTTCCCACTGACTGGTAGCAATCTGTCATTGCAAGCTGCTGCAGAGCAATCAACACCCACTTCTCCACTGTCACGGTAGCTCTCATTCAGATATCCCTGCGCTGGTGAGCAGGGGCAAGCTCAGCGCACAGATCCAGAAATGTGGCCTTTTGGATCCGAAAGTCCTGCAGCCACTGCTCATCATCCCAATCTACATTACGATGAAATCCCACCAGTCAGTGCTCGTTTCTTAGGCTCAGAAGCGGTGCTCCACTGTCTGCAGCTGCTTCGTGACCACCATTGCCAACTTTGAATTAATGTTCAATATGTTCCACAGCAATTTGTCCTCCACCAAACTGTCATATTCCCCCATCGCTGTGGTTCTTCCTGAAGCTCTGCAAATTTTGGAAGATCGTTCATCCTGGGTTTGCAATGCTCATGACAACAGCACAGAGCTGTATGGGCTCCATGCCTTTGTCAGAGATGATGGACTGTGAGAAGTGCCGCACGGGGTTGTGGGACTTTTTAAAAGCATGAAAATTATGGGATAAGGATGACATTATGGGATGGAGAAAGTTGCTTTATGGAAACTTGACCCCTTGCTCCTGGCCACCACTGCATGATTCATTTCTGCCTCACCATGTACTGCCACAATTTCACAAAAGACAGCAAGCTGGATGATGGTAACTTGCATACTGGGACACCTGTCCACGGTGCACCACACTGCATTGACCCAAGCACTCTTGGGTGAGTATGTGCAGTGATGACACAGGAACCAAGTATGCATGCACACGAAAGCTATACTAACTGTGGTGGCTTTAGCCTGACGTAACTTGCGTCAACCAAAGTTTGCAGTGTAGACATGGCTTATCAAGTTAGTTTATGCCTGTAAATTTAGGCAACAGACACAAGCTAAACCAGTCTTAAAGTGATAAAATTCTGCCCACACAGGGGGTTGCACCAGTTTAACTAAACTGGTTTAACTGAGGCTATTGGCATTTCAATTGTTTTTTCTCAAAGTCCAAATTTCTTGGTCAAGGTATAGTCCAGGTCCAGACTCCAGAGAAAAACAATAATAATGATAATAAAAAGAAAGGGAGTACTTGTGGCACCTTAGAGACTAACCAATCCTTTCGAAATGCAAACAGATGGACATCATACCAAAAGGACTGAAGGTAAAAATTGGTTAGTCTCTAAGGTGCCACAAGTACTCCTTTTCTTTTCGCGAATACAGACTAACATGGCTGCTACTCTGAAACCAATGATAATAAAGTAAATAAAAAATGTTTGTGGTTCATTCAAAAGCATCTGGCAGTCCGGAATTGGCCCCAGGCCCACCTATTGATTATCCCTGGTTTAAATTATCTTAATTAAACCGCTGCAAGTTGTGTGTGCAAACAAGGCTGGGGATCAAGAGTGAAACTGAACGGTCAGTTGTCATTGTCCAGGATCAGAGAAATGCAAGAAGTCACAAGAAATGAGTCTTCTCTTTGCAAGGGAAGCATCCCCGGACCCTATGGAGTGCTGTAATCACACCAGGGGTGGTGTCTATAGGTTAGTCTCCAGCTGGGGAAAGGACAATTCTCATGGGTGGCATCCAAGGCCCAAAGTGGGGGAGGGTCTCTCTGGAGGGAGGGGGTGTCACAGGAGTAGTGCTGTCTAGTCTGGCTCTGCGGGAGCAAGGAGGTCTCAATTCCAGGGAGGTCTATCTGGCAGGCTCAGCTCCAGAGAAGCAGAGCAGTCCAGGGAGGAATCTGGCTCCAAGGAGGGTCCCCTGAGCCCCACAACGGGGGAAAGTTCTGGGGTGGGTCCCTTAGAGGGGGCCAATTCCAGGAGAAATGAAGCTGTTTAGGGAGGGAGGATCTCAGACGGCAAGGAAGGAAAAGCAACGAGGAGTCCCTGTGGCACGCTGGAGACTAACAAATGTATGGGGGAGGTGGGGTTGTTGGAGCTGCCCGGCGGGGGCTATTCCGGGGGTGTCTCTCGGGGGTTGGAGCAGTCCAGGGCCGAGGAGTTTTGGGGGGTGGAGGATCGGGGGAGGGTATGTCAGGAGGAGTCTCGGGGTGGGGCTGGGGCTGTCCCGGTGGGGGGGGGCTGTGTGGTGGCCCACAGACAGCCGAGCCCCTGCGGGCTTCCCGGGGAGCGAGGTGGGGGTGCCTGGGACTCCCCGGGCCGGGCCCGGCCCAGCGCCCCCCTCTACCTGCTTGAGCTTGTCCTCTATCTCCCTCCTGCGGGCCGAGGCCTCCTCCGGAGGGATCCTGCCCCGCCCTGGCGCGGGGGCTGCCGCGGGACCGCTGGGAACAGCCAAGGGGCACCGGCCTGCCAAGCACCCCCAACACTGCCGCGCCCGGCGCTGTCAGCCTTCCCGCCCCCACTTCCGCCTCACGCCCACCGCCGTCAGCGCCAAACCGCCATGTTGAGGGTGGCAGACGGTGATGCGCCGGCGTCCGTACACAGGCAGCCATCTTGAGTGTGGTGGGAATCAGTACGCATGCGCATCTGGACGACTCAACGGGAGCGGCTCCGCCCTGGCAGTAATGCGCATGAGCGCCTCCAATAGGAGCCATATTAAGAGTGGCAGGCAGGGAATGACTGTTCAAATACCACCATGTTGGGAGTGGCACTGGGTCTCCCTTGGCATATTTAGTGCTGGGCTGGGCGTATCATTAATGACTGGGGAAGGAATTAGGAGGCACATATTAAATACAAAAAGGAAAGGAGTACTTGTGGCACCTTAGAGACTAACAAATTTATTTGAGCATAAGCTTTCGTGAGCTACAGCTCAAATACAGCACATTTGTTATTACACCCCCTGGACCATACAGCTCCCCCTCCTGCTAATAGCATGATGGGGTGTGGTAGATCAGTGTCCTGCACATATATTCTCCACTCCATTAAACCAGTTTCACTACTCCAGTGCAGTTTCCCCACAGTAATGGAGTGGGGGGACCAGGCTCAAAAGATCCTGCACAGATCCCAAAAGCCAGTGTCCATTTTTAAAAGATTGTGTCCACATCTGTTACACAATTAACATTCTCTTCAGTTCAGGAGGGCAGTTATGTGACTATTAAGACATTTTAGGATTAGACAACCTTTCCTTTTAAAATACCAGTTGAAAGTAAGGCAGGGAAATGTTGGCTCGTGATTATAGCGGGGATCTGGGAGTTAGGGCTCCTGGTTTCTTTTTCTAGTTCTGCTACTGATTTGGGGGCAGTCACTTGGTCTGCTTTTGGTTCTGTTTACCCAATCTCTCGCTTTGTTCTTCAGTTTACTCTACTGCAAAGTGGGTATAATACCACCCTCACAGACATGTCACAAAGATACATTAATACTCTTTAATTCTCTGAAAAACATGGATGGAAAGCGCCATCAATGTGCAAAGCTGTATTAATATCACCGTGTGTGAGGTGTCTGTGGTACTGCAGCTACAAAATGGGCAGTTAGAGGCCAGGGGTCAGGATTTCCCCCTCAGTGCTTCGCTACTGCCACAGAGGCACACAATGCCAATTTATGGGGGCTACACACTGTACTCCCTCCACATGGAGATGAGGGCAAGTCCCTAGACATTCTCTCTCATTTTGGGAGTTCACATCAGCACACTCACCTTCTCTTGATAATTCTGCTCCCCGAGCGGCTTGCCCAATACAGAGATGCTCAGAAGATACGATGGTGAGGAGCAGTGTAAAACAACCTAGCGAAAGTACACATATAAGGACAGCTAGAGAACATCTCACGGCCTCTAGCAGCAGATCTTGATTCTTTTTGAGCCTTCCAAACTGAAAGCCACACAAGAAACACACATCAAATACTGTTGCTGAGATAATGAGAAGAGCAATTTCAGTGGGACCAAAGATCAGCAACATGCAATGAATTCCCAGAACCATTAAAGTCTGAGAATTAGGTGTAAAATGCAGCACATCCACCAGATGTCACCAAGCACCAGCTTTCCTCCTTTTGCTACTTAGTAGGGGAGAAAAGGGGGGGAGTCATACAGTAGAGCATCCGATGAAGTGAGCTGTAGCTCACGAAAGCTTATGCTCAAATAAATTTGTTAATGTCTAAGGTGCCACAAGTACTCATTTCCTTTTCTTTTTGCGGATACAGACTAACACGGCTGTTACTCTGAAAAAAGTTCTCAAACTGTGGCTCCGGACCCCGAAGTGGGTCGCGACCCTGTTTTAATGGAGTTGCCAAGGCTTGTATTAGACTTGCTGTGGCCAGGGTCAAAACCCTAGCCCCAGCTTCACCACCTGGGGCCAAAGCCTGAGCGCTTCAGCCCTGGGTGGCGAGGCTCACGTTACAGGCCCATGCCTGGGGCTGAAGCCTTGGGCTTCGGCTTTGCCCCCACTCCCTTGGGGCAGTGGGGCTCAGGCTTTGGCCCCCCGCTCCTGGGGTCATGTAGTAATTTTTGTTGCCAGAAGGGGGTCACGGTGCAATGAAGTTTGTGAACCCCTGCAGTAGAGTCTCTAGGGCTAGCCAGGAACCAAAGAAATACAAGAGAGGACTTTCCAACTATTAACCAGAGCAGCCATAGGAGGGAAATTGTTTTAGGCAACTCGTCCAATCCAATCCAATCCTCCAACACCCTTCACCCCTCATGTGCAACATGTGCCAACTGTAATTTATTTGAGACATTCCTTTGGGGGTGGAGGGAAAGGTCTTAATGCCACAGATCAAGGTAAATATTATGTCGTAAGCTATTTAGCAAACAATAATGCTAATACACAGGGAAGTGGGAACTATGTTACCTGGCTGGGAAGCCATTAACAGCTAGAAACACAGCATAAAGAGGGGAATTTCCCCACCTTGGTCCCCGATAAATGAATCGGCACATCATGGACTACCCAGTTTCCCTGAATCCATTACTGGGGAAGGGAGCTGTATTTTAATGATTAGAAGGAAGTCTGAAGTGTTGTCTGTTATTAAATCAGAATAACAGCTCTTTGGAGCAGGGACTGTAATTTACTATTTGTTTATACAGCATCTAGCACAATGGGACTATGACTTAGGGGAGGCTTCTAGACAATACAAAATTGTAATAAAATAAAAAGTTTATATTTTGCCCTTCACAGCATCTCAAAATGCTTTACAAATAAATCACAGAGTATCACGGGTCCCCTGAGGGTAGGAATTATTATCCCCATTTTACTGAAGGAAAAACTGAGCGAGAGAAAGATTAAGTGACTTGCCCAAAGTCACATAGCAAGTCAGTTGCAGAGATGAGGATGGAACCTGACTTCCATTTAACTCCTCCCAGCTCCACCCATTAAAAAGCATTACCTCCCAAGCAGAAAGGGCACCTTGCCCCTATCAGCATCCGTCTTCTCTGCTCCACAGGGAGCTGGGTAGAGTAGTTAGATTTATTTGCACAGATGATGCCACACTGTTGGCACCAGACTCACTTGCTGCCCTCACACTGCTCCCAGCAACCAAGAATGTTGCCGTTTATGGGGCGTTGCCCTTTCATCGGGACACCATCCAGTCGTTTTGGGTTGCTTGCTTTTTTATTTTATTTGCAGCTAGTAAAACCCTCTTAGAATCTTGAGGGAGAAGGGAAACGTCCCCTTGCCTTTTTCCTTCAGTTGGCAAACATTGATTCCCCCACCCTGGTGTTTTGGATGGAGCTGAAAGTAACCAGGGGCTGTCTTTGTTCAGCGACAACTTCAGCATGTATTACAGAGCACCTTATCTTGCGGCAGACAGCTGTGTTTGTGCGCCAGCTTCATTGAATGGGGTGTGCACAACAGTGTGTTTCGCCTGTGAAATTACCTGGCTGTGACCATGTGTGCAGGCTCAGCTGAGGTTCCTAGTTTGGAGACTTTGGTCCTACGTGTGTAGGGAGAAGAACCTCTCTCCAGACCCCCCTGCGTTGGTTCGGTGCCCGCGTTTCAGATGCCTCATATTGCTTCTGCGACAAGCTTTATCCTACAGATATTTGAGATATTAATGGGAACACAAAGATGTCAGATCAGTTCCTTCCCCCCCAAATGGCTGCCGTCAATAACAGCCCTTCTGCTGCTCTGGCTGCATAAACAGCATCCTTTACGTCAAAGCTTGCAGTCTCATTCAAAGGAAAGTGCAAGCTGAAAGGGCTACTGATGAGAGCTTTCGAAGTTCCATCCTTTTTCTGCACCATGCAATGATCTTACTGTATGTTTGCTCCCCTCCCACTGTCCCACCGCCTCCCCCCTGCCCTCCACTAAGGGACTTGGATGCCAGAGGTGCTGGCTAGACTGTGGCCCCCTTGACATCAGCCTGTTGTTTGAGGATCTTCTGAACAGAGCTTTATGTCTGTCTTGAAAGGCCAGTGAAAAGGCTCTGCTCAATCCCTATGGAATTACTCGGCCCATTAAGGGAAAGAGGTGAAGCTGGGGTCAGATGCCAGAGAGAGCGACACAGGCCATTTCTCAGAAGCTGACCCTGCCCCCTGCTCATGGCCTCCTTACCAGGCAAGCTTGCTGTTTTCACCGTAGGAAGGAATTGAATTTGTGTTGGCAAGTTTGGGATGGAGGGTTTGGAGCTTCTGAGCTGATCTTGTTTTCAAAAAGCCCCTATGAAGCACCTGCCAATAATAAATTGGGCACATAATCAGGCAAGCGTAATCAAAAAACGTACAATAACCAGATAATCACAAATCACCAATAAATCATCAGCCCAAACACAAATAACAGATATAGCGCCACATCAAAGATAAGACTTCAGATCAAACACAGAGTGTTGGTAAAACATACTGTCATTCAAGAGGGGACAGCTAAGGAGTTAGTAAAAACACCAGTTATTTTTAAAAAATTTGAAATAAAAATATGAAGGCCGGGACACTGGGTGGCTCGGGGGATTTTATCTCCAGGCCTCCAGATTCAATCCGTCCCACACTGATAATGACTGAAAGCTGTCACCTTCGATGGCTGTTCTGTGGCCTATGTAAAATTAGTCTCAGTCCTGTTCCCTGGTGCAGGGGTGACCCCCCCACAAAACAAACTACTGTCAATTGTTGTCTGACTCAGCCTCAGGAAGAGCAAGGATTGCAGGGCCCGTGAGGACTGAACCCCCTGGGATTTAAGGGCAACACATGTTGATGTGATTGGGTGAGGCAGCCTAAACTATGCAAGAAATTCCAAGAAAAAGATTAAGGGGTTAAATATAAGGGTCCCAGCAAAGCAACAATAACCCCTGTTGCACCCAGCAAATACAGGCAGATTAAGTGCTGTGTCTGGATTTAGAGCTGGTGAATGGGGCCAGCCAGATAGACCTGCAGAAGGAACTCTTCTCTCCACAAAACAGGCAAGGCAGGGCAGCAGCAGTGCAAGCTTTCAGATGAGGAATGGGAGCTGTACTCCCACTGCACCCCCTTTCTTTAACACCTGCACATTCCTGGCCCTGTGGGACC